TCTGAGTTGACCCTCCTCTTTGTAGACTGGACCCTGGTTCAAGTCCATCTTATGGGGTCTCCATGTCCTCCCTGAACAAGATGACAGGTGACTCACCATAGTTACAGGACAGTTTGACAGATGGTCCATAGTCCCCTGGAACTTAGTCGACCTTGGAGGGCAAGTGGCAAATACTGTCCTTTAAGTCCTTCTGACCACATTAGTATAGGCCTCAAACTATGGCTGTTAAACATCCAATAAGGTTAGTTCCACCAGTCTGGTACTTTTAATTATCATGTGCTATGTAGATAAGGCTTGGGTAAAAAATCAAATATTCACACATAAACTTTGACTAAATATATATTTTGTTCCTTAAACTAGTTGACTAAACTATGACAATGGAAAATTTAAGATTGTGTGTATATTATTTTTGTCTCATAACAAATCTAAACAGACCTTTATCACTTGCTTAGGCTTTCTCATTTTTTCTATTTTGGAAAATATCTCCATTCCCATATCCTTTTAACATCTTTTACATTCTCATTTTCTTTTTTTAAAAAAATAATTATGAGTCGTAATAGCATTAACAAATAAATTTTCCATCTGTTGTGAGACTTCTTTTCCTGGGGATGCTAAGCAATGCTGATTCCCGTTTAAGTTTCTAGTGTCAAGCCAATGTTTGATTAAAGTTTTACTGGGCAATAATGAATTTATTGAGCTTACTTACTGAGACAACTGAGGGGTTGCTGAGGTGTATGTATGGCCTGAGGGTATGCACACTGGAGAGCCTTTAGCCAGCATGGGTCATGCCATCTCTTCCTAGCCTTCCCCAGATTGTGTGCTTTAGCCCTCCCCAAATGGTTAGTGTTTTATCCCAGTGAGAGAAACCACTGTTTCTGATTTCCTGGTTCACCCAGGCCTGGGCACCTCCCCTGATGCTGCTCTGAGGACTGGTGAACAACAACACTTCCATCTATGTTCAGCTCCCCGAGTCCACCCAGGATATGAGAAGACACTGAGGACATCTAGGGCCAACTTTCTACAGCACTGGGAGAGGCACGGCCTCTGTGAAAGCTGCCATCTGGAAGAAAGGCCTTTTCTCCCTCTGCCACCTTGGTAGGTCTTATCCTTAGATCAAGAAGGCTTCTTCAGGAACAGAGTCAAATGAGGACTTCGCTCTTTTCTGCACTCAGTCTAGAAACTATCATCACCTGCCCATCACCAGCATCATGAGGAGTCCATGCTTTCATTACCAGCATCATAGGAAGCTTGGGTCCCAATGCCAACAAGAAGAAGAACTTGGGTCCCCATCCTCAGTTCCAGGGGGATCTGGGCCTCTATCAACAGCACCACGTGGAGCAGGGCCCCCATCCCTAGAACCATAGGGAGCCTGGGTCCCCAATCCTGGTGCCACAGGGAGTCTGGGTCCTCATCCCCAGTGTCATAAGGGGGAGATGCCTCACTGAGCTAGAGTTCCCCTTCTTGGTCCCTGACAGGTACTGGGTGCTGGCTTTTCTGTTTGTTTTGAGATTATTGGTGATTTTCTTTGTGTGTGTGTGTGTGTGTGTATTTTTAGATAGTCTCCCTGAAACTCCATTTGGCCTTGAACTCACAGAGATCTGCCTGCCTCTGCCTCCCAAGTTTGCCCCACCAATTTTAAAAATATTTATTATTTTTATTTTATGTATATGTGTGTATTGCCTGCATGTAGGTACGTGCACCTGTGTTGTGCAATGCCTGCGGAGGACAGAAGAGGCTGTTGGATCCCCTGGAACTGGAGTTACGGACAGTTGTTAGCTGCCATGTGGGTGCTGGGATTCGAACCTGGGTCTTCTGCAAGAATAGCCAGTGTTCTTAACTGCTGAGCCATCTCTCCAGCTCTGCCCCACCAAGTTTTAAAGTCTGTTCAGATTCCAGAACTGTGGGCTGCATGTGAACCCAAACAGACTCCATTTGTACTTGTTTTTCTGTTGGTACAGGGGCTTGTGTCAAAGCTGACCTTGTCCTATGCTTGTCGGAGACCAGGGACAGCCACAAAGTCCAGACAGAGAGGCAAGGGAGATCATGATTTTCCTACTCCTGACCCGCTGGCAGGGCCAGTAGGCCACTCTATGGAGAAGGCGTGTTCCAGTGTTCTTACCACTGACTCAGTTGTGGCTGCAGGGGTCAGCTCTCCTGTGGATCCCAGTCTCTATGGTCTTGGCCACCATGGTTCACACACTCCACAAGTAACTCTTACACACTCCCTCTGTGCCAAAGCCCTTGAAGATAGTGGACTCAGTGAAAAGGAGGCTCAGCGGGATAGGGATGCACTGCCTGTGCAGCACCGTGGTTGGGAATGATGGTCCCATTAGAATGGAGATGTGTCCTCAGCTAGGCAGGTCTTTTTTCCCATCACATCCTAGCCACACTGGCCTCCTGCTCACATCTACTCTGCCACACAGCCCCTCTGTAGGGACAGCTTACACCGTTTCTTCTGTGTCCGTTCTTCATCCACATGTGCACCCAGAACCTACGTAGCTGGGTCTTCCTACGGCATGGAGTACCACACGGCTGTGTTTAAACAGCCTCTGTCCTGCTTCAGACCTGTGTAGGACAAATCCCCTCAATGTTCTGGGAAATAGAATGTTGTTCATGTTGACTTTTCCTAATCTTACAAAATCTGTTTACAAAAGGTTCTGTCTAGTTCTTGATTTGGGGGAAATTTTGTACTAGAACTTTTAAACTTTGCTTAGGAAAGTTACGCAAAATGCAAACTATAGGTACTTTTGGGAAATAGGGTAGGCCCTGTTAGGAAAGTAAATATATTTGCTGAAAGTAGGCTTGGTTTCCACAAACATATAACTTGGGGTCTGGAGGTAGTGAAAGACTAGAAGGGAGAGACATGCCCCAAACCCTAGGCAGCTATATCATGTCACTGGCCACCTGCTTTGGTGGAAGAATTTCAGAAACTTCCAGGTCAAGCCCAGTCTAGAGACTTAGAATTTAATAACTGAGATAAGACCAGGACCTTGACTTTGTAAAGACCTATCTGGGGTCTTCTAATCAAAGCCAGAACTGAGACCCATGTGTTTGGGGTGGGGTCACTATCAGCACCTGGTGAGCAGATAACTTGCTCAGGAGGTAGGGCCTGGACATCCAATGTCCAGTCTAGCCTTGAGGAGACTGTGAACACTCACCAGGAAGCCCAGCACAGGGAGACTCCAGGCATACTTACCAGGCAACAAAGCTCAAGGAAACTGTACATCCACACCTCAGCTCAGCATAGGGAGAGTCCAATACACAGTCCCCAGACAGCCCAGCACAGGGAGAGTCCCATGCACATTCACCAGGCAGCACAGCTCAGGAGACACCTGTGCATGCTCAGCCCAACATAGAAGTGGTGCCTGACTTGGGTCTGTGGTTAAGGTCCCTTTGTTTAGATAGTACACATTAGAAGCTCTAACTAACCCTTTCTTCCCTGGATTCTCTATTTTCATAGGATGCCATCTCCAAGAAATAGTGCCAGCAATTCTGTGGCCTCCTCCTAGAGGAGAGTGAGCATTCCTAGGTGAGGCAGAGGAGTATTAGAGTCTGGGCCTCCCCATTTGCAGAGGGGTAATGTTCTTGCCCTGCACTGTGTGTGTGCCTAGGAGCTGTGAACAATTGCCCTCAAGGGAGTCAAGCACAGTCAGCTGAGGGGCAGTTTGACTACTCAAAAACAGAAACAGGCTGTGATGATGGGCAGAGATGACTCTAACCCAGTATGAGCAAAGGCCTCATCCCACAGAGTGAGCAAATCCCTGAGAGACTCCCAGTCTGGCTCAGGAAAAGGAAGCTTTGTTCTAGCGAAGGCTGATTTCTCACATCACTAAGTCAAGGGGAGATCACGTTGGGACCAAGAGATCACACTATTGCAGGTGAGCAGCCACCCTGGAAACATTAAACAACATTAAACAACACCAGATGTGACCCAGCGGGTCTGGAGAGCAATTGCTTTAATGTGGAGGATTTGCTGACCGTGGGGTCTCAGCTGTGGGCAGCCCCCTGGCTCTCATGGACCTCTCAATCCACTTGAGGAAGGCCGTGACCTTGGTGTACACCCCGTACTTCCCTTTCCTTGCACACCCTTCTCCCCAGCTGACAATACCAGTCACAAAGAAAGTGTCTTTAAACCTGGTGACGTGCGGGCCACCACTGTCCCCTTGGCAGGCATCCTCCATCTTGGTGTCATAACCCGCACAGAACATGTTCTGGGTGATGGTGAAGCTGCTGGAGAGCTTACAGGTGTTGCGGTCCACATAAGGCACCTGCAGCATCTTGAGGGTGCTGGATGCCCGGCCCTTCTCATGTGTGCGCCCAAACCCACTCACAATGCCTGTCTTCTGTGTCATCAGTGTAGCTTCGGCCCAGTCCTTCTGGGGCAGGCAGGCAGGGGCCACGTTCATGCGGAACGTGATCGGTGTTTTCAGCTTGAGCACTGCGATGTCAAAGTCATAGGTCTCTCTCACAAACTTGTTGTGTTTTATGACCACATCTACCTCATGTACCATCTCGTTGCCTTCCTCCTTTTCCGTGTTCCGATCCCCTGGAGTCAGAGCAGATGGCAGTTAGTTCCCTAAGGGCCAGGTGTTTATACATCAGATACTTTGAAAGAATGTTTTTAAAAAAATGGGGCCAGGCATGCTAGCACATGCTTTTAATCTCAGCATTTGGGAGGCAGAGCAGGCAGATCTCTGTGAGTTTGAGGCCAGCCTGGTCTACATAGTGAGTTCCAGGCCAGCTAGGGCTACAGGGAGACCCTGTCCCAAAAAGACCAAAAAAAAAAGGAAGCCACAGGGAGAGCCTGACTCAAAATACAAACAGCCATGCCAGGGAGGGTAAGTCTGTATTCCCAGCTCTCAGAAGGATGAGGCAGAAACTTTGCAAGTTCAAGATTAGTCTGTGCTCTGTTGTGAGACTTGTCTCACGGTATAAAAATAAAGATACCTAAAATGGCCTTCTGTCTCCCCCACCCCAGGGTGTGACCATCTGATCATATTTTTACATAAAAATTTAAGACTAGCTGGATGTGGTGGCACATGCCTTTAGTCCCAGCACTTGGGAGGCAGTCGGGCCTCTGTGAGTTCGAGGCCAGCTTGCTCTATATAGCGAGTTCTAGGCCAGCTGGGGCTACAGGGAGACCCTGTTTCAAAAAAAAAAAAAAATGATTTAGAACTTCGGTTCCTTCCAATTCCTCATGCTTTGGCAGAGGAATTATTCCCTGAGTGTGTCCTGTGAGCTGGGCCTGTCCAGACCTGGGCCGTGCCTCCAACCCCACAGGTGCTTGTGCACCGGGGCTGGGCCCACCTAAGCAGTGACATGCTAAAAGTGGAACTCTGCAGACTGTGAAAGGAGAATATGGGGTATCTCACTCACAACTGAAGCTTATTTTACACAATTACACATGGAAAACAAGGCTTTGGATAACAGCATGAAATGAGATATTGGAATTAACCTCATTGATTTATGCTGGTTAAATTTCAAATCACATATGTGACTTGCCCTGGATTTTCACTAGAAAGCTCTAGGGTCTTATAGAAACAGATTGAAATTAACTAAATGACCCACAAATGCAAATATGAGGTCTCAAGAGTGTTATAGAAGAGGGAGGCTGGCAAGGCTTCTGAGGACACTAAGAAACACAAGGGTCACATGAAGCATAGACACCTAAGACCCTGAAGAGGGAAACTTCTATGCGGAAGGGCCCAGTCCAGGGACCCATTGGCCCCCCTCCTTCTCTCTAGTCCTCTCCTCTGCTTCCTGACCCCCTTATGAGATGAACTCTGTTTCCAAACAGGGCTTCTCTAGTAGGTATCTCTAACAGATTCCATCGATTCCAGGGGTCCTGGAGAGGTTGGTGGTACATGTCCACTGGGCTTAGGAGGCAGGGGCGTCACTTACCTACCCTCACCTTGAATCGCTTGGCTTGGTGGAGACAGTGAGCTGCTGTGAGGATATAGAACTCATTCAGGATGGTACCCCCACAGAATCCTTCATTCTCTTCATTGATGAGCAGAGCCTGTGACCAGAATAGTGTGTCTATAAACCACCTATGGTTTGCATGTGGGCCATGCTGAGTGGACTGGGGTATGTGGGCTCTCTGAGGAGTTTAAAGAGCCTTTTCTAGGCGCTCTACACTCACTTCACTGACCAGAGTTTCTCACACCCACTGGCTTTCCAGGTCTAGCATCTCATATTTATACACAGTACACACTGGGCTCAGCATAGTGAATCCTCAGTCCATGTGTCCGAAGAATGGCACACACAGGCAAGGTGAAGGGGGCTCAGATGACTCCTGGGGGTTGCTGGTAGCTCTGGGATTTTTGCTTCTAGGACAGGTATTTTGTTTTTGGACATTGGAAACCTCAAGCCCTAAAGAAGATGAAAGATAAAAGTCGGAGCACCTAGTCAAGCTGGGATCAGAAATGGTAGATGAGCATGTCCCAGAAGCATTTGGCTTACATTATCAGGGAATTTGTTGTCTGTACAAGGCTCAAGTCTCACTGGGGGTGGGGTGGAGCTTGGGCTTTCTTTCCTAAGTCTGGCAGTGCTTGTCCAGACCAAAGTCCAAACCAAAGAATATTTTTAACTTAAGTGCCTTTCGTTTTCTCATTCTTTCTTTCTCTCTCTTTCTTTCTTTGTTTTGTATTTTTTTCTTTTGGAGACAGAGTCCTCCTGTAGCCCCAGCTGCCCTGGAACTTGTAGACCAGGCGGGCCTCAGTCTCACAGAAATCTGCCTCTCTCTGCCTCCTAGGAGCTGGGATTAAAGGTGTATACCACTATGCCCAGCCAAGGTGCTTTTCTTTAAGGCACTTTCTGCCTTGTAATATCATTTAGATGTTTTGATGATGATCAAAAGTGATCAAATCAGAAATGATGTAATGACAATCTTTCTCCTTCACCCACCACTGGGGAGGACCTTTGCTGGCTTGGGTTGCTGAGTCCCCAGAATTTGTTCCTCCGACTCTGTGTCATGAGAGGATTGTTCTAACTGCAACCAGTACCAGTTTAGGCCAGTTACCTGCCACGGACACTCCCCATCTTCGCAGTCCCGACCGCCCACAACCCGTACAACGTTTCTATTTTTCTCATTGGAGTCTGTCTGGTTGTGGTTGAGCAGGTCAGAAGGGCTCACAGTTGGAGACAGGACATCCCAGTCTAACATGAAGTCTTCAGGGACAGCCTCACTGCTGTTGGTGGCCTTGGTCACGGACCTCTTCCTGCGTCCCATAGTGGTTTTCCCACAGGGGAAGAGCTCTGAAAAAAAAAGAGACAGCAGTGGCCTCAGCATAGCCAGAAGCTCAATAGGCTCAGTGAGGCTTCCTGAAAGGCAAGGGTGTGATGGCTAATCCTGAATGTCAACTTGATTGAATCGAGACCCAAATGAGAGATTAGTAAAGCATACCTCCTGATGTACCTGTGGGGGACTTTCCAGAGAAGATTTAGAGCAGAAAACATGCCTGGAATATAAGCATCACTATCCCATAGTCTGGGGGCCCAAAGAATAAAAAGGAAAGAAGAAGAGATCTTGCTGGCATAGGTGTTTTCTTTCTCTGTTCCTTGGCTGCCATTAGGTGAGCTGCTCGGCCTTGCTTTCCTACAAAGATGGACTAATATCTCTGAAACCATGAGCCAAAGTAAATTCTTCCTTCCTAAAATTATTTATGTCAGGTTACAGTGACAGGAATTTTGACTAATATAGAAAATTTCTTTCTTTTTCTTTTTCTTTTTTTGGCTTTTTGAGGCAGGATCTCCCTGTAGGCCCAGCTGGCCCGGAACTCACTATGTAGACAGGCTGGCCTTGAACTCACATAGATCTGCCTGCCTCTGCCTCCTCAAATACTAGGATTAAAGGTGTGAACCACCATCCCTAGCTAAAATGTGTAGCCCAGGCTGGCCTTGAACTCATGATCCTACTGCCTCTGCCTCTTCAGCATATCCCATCGGCATGTGCCACTGCTGATTTCTGGCCTGACATAAATAAATTTCTGCCAGTGGTAGGGTTGTTGCTATGACTACCTGACCAAGTGGTTCAGAAGTCTTAGAACTGGTTTGTGGGAAGAATTTGAAAGAATTTATGGCTATTGAAAGAATGTGGGCTAGAGAAAGCCTGGAATTCTGTTGGCAGAGTTAAATGAGTGATTCCAGTGGGTCAGAATGCTGATGGGATGGTGGATAGGGAAGACTGTGATCTGAGATCTTTGAAGAGAACAAGCACTCTGTTGGGAACTGTACTGGAGACTATTTATGTTACACTGTGGCAAAGATCTTGTCTACATTTTGTCGATGCCCTGAGACGGTGGGAGGGAGAGTTTAAAAATGATAGATAAATTACTGTGGTAGCAGACATTTCAAGGCAACCCTGCACTCAGGCAGTGTTGTGGTTGTTGCTACTTTTAGCCAGGTTTATAATGAGAGCCAGGAACAAAAGGCAGAGCTAAAAAACTTAAAAGCTTTGGAGTTTTGCCAGAAAAGGAGCAGAAACCAAGAGAAGGAAAAGGACACAGTAGCCTCAGGCTGAGCATAGTGGCCTTTCTGTGCTGGTGCTGGTTTAATGTCATGTAGTTTCAATGTGGCCTTCACTTGTGTTCTCCAAGGTGTGACTGTGTCCTGAGCCAGTGAGAGGACCTGGGCATTCTGTTTCCTGGAGACATTAGTTTGTTAGGTCTGTGTTGAAAATTGTAGTCACAACCGTTTGAAAGTCTGAAGCATGCTAGGCAAGCTCTCTATCACTGAGCCACACCCTGGTCTTTTACTGTGTTTGCAGACATCAAACTTTATTTTGAATTGATTTGTAACTATTCCTGGAGTGAAAATACTTTGCTCACATATCAAGAAATAGCTTTAGTCAAAATTTTATGAACTAGCTTAAGCTTAAAATGTTACTGCCCACAGAAATAAAAACCTTGCTTTTTGGTTTTTAAGAGATTTCGTGCTGTATAATTGGACTCACCCTCGAAGGTTGTATTTGGAGTCACTGTTTTCTGGTTACTTAATTTCTAGAATAAACTGTTTTCAGTGAACAATGGAGGAGAGGAAAGGAGGAAGAAATAGCCTAGGGTGCTGGGTCCCTGATGGAACTCATCTGTGTGCTTGGATACTCAGGCTCTAGTGGATCTGAGACTCTCAGCCCCCACTAACCCACCTGGGGGATTCTATGGTGAGGTCAGGGCCCAGCTATTGACCAAGGGGCTGCATTCTTAGAGATGCTGGGTGAGCTCATCTGAGCTTCTCACATGTCTGACAGGGAGCTCATTCCCGAGCCCTTATATCCCTCATACCATCAGGTACTCACTGCCCTCTATGAGCCTTGTCTGGTGCTCCTTATTGGATTGAGCATGTCCAGCTCTCACCAAGGAAAAGGAAAATTGAACACAATCAACATGGGGCCAAGAAAATGAGGTCAGCACTGGCTCTTCTTCCCACCGGTGCACCCCCCGCCCAACTCTGGAGGGCCCTGCCCCTCACCTGCTCTTGGGACACTGTGATAAGTGTGGCTCCCAGGACCTCAGTATCTCTCAGGGCAGTGAAGCATGGGCTATCCTGCACAGAGATCATTGCTTGAGCCATGGGCAGGCCTAGCATGTTGGCACCTGGGTCACCTCTTTTCATCACCTGGTTTGTCCTAGTCTCTTCAAAGGAGGAAGCTGACAGCTGCCTCCCCCCAGATCTAATGAGTCTGGTTCCAAACCTGAAGCCTTTATGACTGAATCACCTGAGCCCAGAGCCCTGACTCTTGCTCTCTATCTCCTGACACCACTGTTGCCCACCAGCCCCACCCAGAACATGCCTACAGCCCCCTACCTGTGGGGATGCAGGACTTGCCATCGTCACTCAGGGTGTAACTCCTGGCACAGGAGCATACCACTGAGTTCTGCTCTTCGAGGCAGAATTGTTCACAGCCCCCATTGTCCAGGCTGCAGAGTTTCCTAGAAACTGTGAAGCAGAGGGCAGATGAGTCTTTCTTATAGGCACAGGATAATCTCAGACTGGTAGAGGGTACCTGATGACATCTGCCCAATCTCAGTCATACCCAGATGTAAGGGAGCTAAGGGCCAGAGTCCCAGGAAGACACACATGGGTGGTTTGTATGTTAACAGAACAGGCAGCCAAACAAAATGCCAGCCCCATGTGAGCCCTACTCCCTGGTGCTGCCTCTCCAGGCCACTGGAGGGACACCTGGTGGCATATGCCCAGGTCATAGGAGGGACATTTGGTGTATGAACAGGCCATGAGAAGGACACCCAGCATCTTCACAGACTATGGAAGGGACATCCCAGATATGCACAGGGCTCTCCATTGACTCCAAGAAGCTCTGTAAGGGAGAGTGGCTCCATTATCTCTGTTGAGGGCTGTGTACATTCTGTTGGTCCAGGATGTTGCCCTTGGGTGGGGTGCTTCCCAGCTGCAACTTCCTTTTCTCACTCATTAACAATGAACAGTGTGTGAGCCCCCTACTCTGGCCCAATATTGCACCAGGCACCCTGCTGTGGGCATGCTGTATTTGCAGCTCTGAATTCCTGTGGGACTGGGCAGGAACCGTCATCTATCTCCCATGAGCGGTGTCTGACAGGAGGCTGGGGACCGGGTCTACTGTAGATGGAAGGAGAGGTGTCCTTTCAGCCCCGTAGCCTCAGTGTCTACACTGTTAAGTCATGGAGTTGAAGGTAATTCAGGCTACATGAAATTTGTGACAGAGTATCCACTTAATCCCTCAGCAACTGCTGACCTGCCCGTTGTGCCTCAGGTGCTGATCAAGTCCACCTGCCTCCATCTGCAGCGTCTTAGACCAGAGGAGCCCCTTCTGCTTCCAGCACAGACTGATTCAACCTGATAATAATCACACTAATAATGATGCCTGTAGCAATTTGTTTTACAGCCCTTCACTTGTACTTGGATGAAAAAATTATGAAACAATTATGGAGCAAAATCAACCTTAATGGAACTTTAGCTGCTGGGCATGTACTCTATACTGGGTCTGTTAGTCTGTTGGGTACAGGCAGCACCCAGGCTTCTGTGGAATGATTCATAATCAGTAGCCCCATTGGGGAAAATCCTGAGGCCGTTCAGAAAAAGATTTCACTCTATAGGGTAATTTAGCCCTGGACATTGTGGTATATGCCTGTCATCTAAGCACCTAGGAGACTGAGCAAAAGGATTGCAGGGAGTTCAAGTCTACGGTCTAGGGTGAACTACATAATGATTTCTTGGGCAATCTAGACTTTAGAATGAGAGCATTTCACAGGCCTTTAATCCAAGCACTGGGGAGGCAGAGGCAGGCACATCTATGTGAGATTGAGGTCAGCCTGGTCTATATAGTGAGTTCCAGGCCAACAAAGGCTACAGGGAAACCATGTCACAAATAAAAAAGAGAGAGAGAGAGAGAGAGAGAGAGAGAGAAAGAGAAAGAGAGAGAGAGGCTAAGCTTCCTTGTTAGGGAAAATTGGTCTGTTACTACCTAATTTTCTATTTTAAAAAATGAGCCATCCTAATAGTAATATTTCAGTGATGTTTTTCCATGTAGAATCAATTAAGTGCATCTAATATTTCAAACTGAGCAGTATTGAATGCTCCTCATTGGTGACTCATTGGTGTTTGGTGACTCAGAACCATTGTTCAAGAGTAGATGTAGCAGGAAAAGCAGAGTGAATGGTCCACCTTGAGTGACACAGGCTCTGGTTCATACAGCAATGGATTGCTTGTCTCATGGTGCCCTACAACAGCTCTGAGTATCAGAAATGCTGTCTCTCTTATCGCACCCCGCTGAGCAGCCTGGGGGGCACATTGGGCTGTGCATGGGGCATTAGTCCAGTGGTCAGTGAGGCAGAGCATAGACTATAAATTAAGAATGATTATGGTTGTCTTCCCTCTCCCCCACACTCTATCTGTGAGTATATCTGCTCTGAAGGTCCATCGAGCAGAGGGACTTACAGAATTCACAGTTTTTGCCTTCGTATCCCTCCAGGCAGGTGCATGTGTACTCCCCGAGGCCATCTCGGCACATGCCTTCATTCTGGCAAGGATTGTTTTCACACTGGTCTCCATCTGCAATGAGATGGTTTAGAAACCAAGGTTGAAGACACTTCCACCAACATGGAAACCACTGCTGCCTGACTTTTCATCTGCATTGCAGATATCTTGAGCTTGCTTCCTGCCCCCACCTCATGTGGCTATCTGTGTGTGATGCTCTTGCCCCCCTGGGTCATTGGCTGGGTCTCTATTTCTGCTTCGCTATATTATAATGTGTTTGTGGACAGGGTGAGGTGCTCTGGGCTGGTGGCCACATTGGTCAAAGGAAGAGGACAGTGGATAGCATGACACTTATTTCTGGACTGGGTGCTGATCATAAGAGAAGCTCTGAGACTTCTTCTTCCCAAGGGGTTTGGGGATGGAATGAGACTCTGAAAAAGGTCGCGTACCAGTGTGGGCTCCAGCTTTCTTGGAGGAGAGGCAAGTCCAATTATCATCTTGAAATTGTTACTGGGTAGTAACCATCAACATTGTCTCTAATGCTGTGAACAGTCATCAAGGTCACTCCCTTTAGGGAATCCAATATTTCAGACTACTTGATATAGTTGTCTTAAAAAGCTATCACGGGAGGGCTGGAGACATGGCTCAGTAGTTAATAGCATGAGCTACTCTTGTTGAGGACCCAGGTTTGGTTCCCAGAACCCACGTGGTTACTAACAACTATCTGTTACTCTAGTTCCAGAGACTCTGATGCCCTTTTTTGGCCTCTGTAGGTATTGCATGCATGTGGTACACTTAACACACATGCAGGCAAAACACTCGTACACATAAGATAAAAACAAATAAATATAAATTATCATGGAATTTGGTATCTTCAACTAGGATGAACTGATTTAAATCTGTATCTGAGCCAGACTTGATGGAGAACACCTGCAGTTCTGGCTACTCAAGAGCCTGAAGCAGGAGTTTTAGGCCAGTCCAGGCAATAGAGCAAGACCCCATTAAATACAAATCTGTAATAGAGTAAAAAACAAAGTGGAATCAATATAAAGTTGCTATACCATACTCTAAATAACATCCAGAGCGAAAAGGTGTTAAATGAATGCTCAAAGTAATACAGAGGACCAAAGATAGGAACAGGCTAATGGAATGAATCAAGAGAGAAAACCCATCTTTTTATTGTCTTTAAGAAGCTCACCTCACCTTCAAGGATAAGACACTACCTTAGGGTAAAAGTATGGGAAAAAATATTCCAATCAAATGGTTCTAAGAAGCAAGCAAGTGTTGCAATTCTAATATCTGACAAAAAAATAGAAACTAATCAGAAGAGATAAACAGGGTCATTTCATTCTAATCAAAGGAACAATTGATCAAGAAGATATTACAATCATGAATTATATACGTGCCAAACTCTGGTGCACCCAATTTCATAAAAACAGTACTACAGGACTATAAAACACAGATTAACCTCAACTCAGTAATAGTAGGTGACTTCAATACCCCATTGTCTCCAATAGATAGGTCAACTGGACAATGAATAAATATAGACTTCTGAATTAAATGACGTCTTACATCAAATGAACCTAACAGACATCTACAGAATATTCCACCCAAGCACCAAAGAATAGACTTTCTACTCAATAGCACGTGCAAGTTTTTCTAAAATTGAGCACATTCTGGGACACAAAACAAATCTCAAAAAATACAAAAAATTGAAATAATTCCATGTATTCTATCAGACCATAGTGCAATAAAGCTTATAATCAACAGCAAAAGAAGTGCTAGTAACTACTTGAGCTCATGGAGACTAAACAACACAGTCCTGAATGATGAATGGGTCAAAGAAGAAATTAAGAAGAAATAAAAGTATTCCCGGAATTAAATGAAAATGAGAATACAACACAACAAAACCTCTGGGACACTTTCAAAGCAGCCCTAAGAAGGACGTTTGTAGCTCTTAGTACCTACATTTAAAAAATCAGAAATAGCACATGTAAATAACTTAACAGTACATACAACACAAAACTCTGGAAAGGCAAGAACAAACCAAGCCCAAACCTAGTAGACAAGAAGAAATAACAAAAATCAGAACAGAAATGAATGAAATAATAACAAAGAAAACAATACAACCCCTCCCCCAAAAAATCAAAAAAAAAAACAATCAATCTAAAATCTGTTTCTTTGAAAAGTTAAACAAGATAGAGAAACCCTTATCTAGGTTAACAAAAAGAAAGAGAAAATTCAAATTAACAAAATCAGAGCCAAAAAGGGAAACATCATAACAGACACCAAAAAAAAAAAAAAATCCTGAACTTTGCAAGGGAATACTTTAAAAATCTATACTCCATTAAATTCAAAAATCTAAAAGAAATGGATGGATTTCTAAAGGTATGGACACCACCAATGTTAAACCAAGAAGAGACCAACAGCTTAAACAGACCCATCACAAATAAAGAAACTGAAACAGGAATACAAAACCTCCTGTCTAAATAAAGCCCAGACCCAGATAGATTCTCAGCAGAATTCTACCAGACATTCAAAGAAGATCTACAACCAGTACTGTGTAAATTATTCAAAAAGATAGAAACAGAGGGAGAACTCCTAAACTCCTATGAAGCCAGCATCACTCTAATACCAAAACCAGGTAAAGACACAACAAAAAAGAAAACTATAGACCCAGATCCTTAATGAACATAGATGCAAAGATACTCAACAAAATACTCATGAAGAATATTCAGACACATATCAAAAAGATCATCTACCACAATCAATTTGTCTTCTTTTCAGAGATGCAGGGATGGTTCAATGTATGTAAGTCAATAAATGTAATGAATCATATAAATGAACTTAAAGACAAAAATCACATGGTCATCTCAATAGATGCAGAAAAGGCCTTTGACAAAATCCAACATGCATCCATGTTAAAAGTCCTAGAAGTAATTGGTCTGGAGGGAACATACCTCAACATAGTTAAAGCTATAAACAACAAACCCACAGCCAACATCATTCTAAATGGAGAAAAACTGGAAGCATTCCCATTAAAATCAGGAATCAGACAAGGATATCCACTATCTCCACTCCTTTTCAATACAGTGCTTGAAACTCTTGCAAGAGCAATAAGACAAGAGAAGACAAATTATCACTATTTGCAGACAATATGATATACATAAGAAATCCCAAACATTCCACCAGAAAACTGTTAGAAATGATAAATACTTTCAGTAAAGTGGCAGTTTTACAAAATGAACTTAGAAAAGCCAGTAGCCTTCTATATATCAATAACAAGCAATCAGAAAAAGCATTCAAAGGAACCCTCCCATTCACAATAACCTTAAAAATATTTAGGAATCAACCTAATCAAAGACATTAAAGATATCTATAGTGAAAATTTTAAGTTTTTAAAGAAAGAAAGAGAGGAAGACTCTAGGAGATGGAAAGACCTACCATGCTCATGGACTGGTAGAATCAGTATTGTGAAAATGATCATCTTACCAAAAGTAATCTATAGATTCAAGCAATATCAATCAAAATACCCATAACATTTTTCATAGAGCTAGCAAAAAATCATCCTAAAATTCATACAGAACTCGCGAACGACCCCAGATAATCAAATGATCTTGGGCAAAAAGAATAATTCTGGGGGGCTCACCATACCAGATCTCAGATAATATTACAGAGCTATCATCATAAAAACAGCATGGTACCAGCACAAAATTGGTCATATAGATAAATGGAACACAAAAGATGACCCAGACATGAGTACATGCAATTTCAGCCACCTTATATTTGAAAAAGGTGCCAAGAACACACAATGAAAGAAAGACAGCATTTTCAAGAAATGGTGTTGGCAAAACTGGATCTCCACCTGTAGAGGAATGAAACTATATCCTTATCTTTCACCTTGCACAGAAGTCAATTCCAAATGTAACAAAGGCTTCAATATAAAGCCTGAAACTCTGAAGCTGCTAGAAGAAGACATAGGCAGCACCCTCCAAGATATAGGCGTAGGAAAGGACTTTCTAAATCGGACATCAGCTGCTCAGACATTAAGGTCATCAACCAATAAGTGGGACCTCATTAACCTACAAAGCTTCTGTACAGCAAAAGAAACAACTAAGGAAGTGAAGAAGAATCCCACTGAGTGGGAAAAAAAATCCTTACCAGCTACACATCTGACAGAGGATTAATATTTAGAATATACAAAGAACTCAAAAAATGAAGAAACAAGAAAATAAATGACACAATAAAAAGATGGGCGGTAGACCTGAACAGAGAGTTCTCAAATGAAGAAATAAAAATGGCTGAGAATACACCTTAAAAAGTGCTCAACATTATTAGTAATTAGAGAACTGTAGATAAAAACCACTTTAAGATTCTATCTTACCCCAGACTGGCTAACATCAAGAAAATGAAAAACACCAAATGCTGGAGAGGATGTAGAGAAAGGGGAAATGCTCATTTACTGCTGGTGGGATTGCCAACTTGTGCAACCACTATGGAAAGCAGTGTGGAGAACTCTCAAAAAACTAAAAATGAACCTACCATATGACCCAGTTATACCACTCCTTGGCATATGCCCAAAGGACTCATCCTACTGTAGAGATACCTGAACATCCATATTTGTTGCTGTTCTTCACAATAACTAAGAAATGGAAACAACCTAAATGTCCCTCAACTGATGAATAGATAATGAGAGTGTGATACATTTACACAATGGAGTTCTATTCAGCAGTAAGAAAAGATGAAATTTGCAGGTAAATGGATGGAACTAGAGACTGTTATACTAAGTGAAGTAACACAAATGCAGAAAAGCAAGCAAACTATGTTCTCCCTCATTTGTGACTTGTGGTACCAATCCCTTATATGTGAGTATATATCCTGATGTAACACCAGGAAAATGAAGAGGAAACACCGAAGTAAAGGAAAAGAAAGAACCTGAAAGAGGGGGATAGTAGGGAACAGATGTTACCAGGGGGAGGTGGGGAAAGTGGGAATGTGTGGTTGGGATGGGAGGAGGGATGGACATGCTGGGGGCCACAGTGGGGAGGAGGGACCTCCGGAGAGGAGGATGGGGGAAGCAGGTGTTATTGGGGGGAGGGAGGGAATAATGGGGACACTTGCACTGGGGTGGGAGGAGGGAGGTCGGATGAGGGGTAGAGATGAATGGATCTTGGGGGACTACAGAAACCAGAAGGGAATGTGTTTCCACCAACACCCCCCCCAGAAAAATACACATATGGTACCTGAACAATAGTGCATATGTACCTGGGGACTGCAGGGCAAGGGACACAGTGCTAGACAGGAGAGACCTTCGAGTGGTTGGTCAGAGTGATCCAAGAGACTCCCGAAATAACACAGGCTGTTGCCAGAGCTCTTGGTTATCTCCCAGAACCCTACTGCTGAAGATAGGACATACTTCAGACACAGAACTTGAAACAATGGAGCAGGAACTGAGCTAGAAGCCTTCTACTTGAAGACTAGCTCTCATAGTTCTGGAGGATACTATGCAAACTGCTAAGGGGAAAAAAAATCAAACAATGGTCCAACACAGACCTAAACCTAATAACCATAACAACTAGTAGAGCAAACTACCCCTACTAGTCAGTAGTAGCACTGATGTCTGGGGGTAATCAACAGCTATCTAATTGGACTTAAAGCCCTCTCAATGGGAGTGAACTCACAGGTGGCACTGTAAACATAGCCAAATACACATGACTGGAGAGGTCATAGATCCTAGAGAAAATCCTATTTCTGTCATATCTGTAGATAATGAAATTTCTTATCACATGCTAAATGTGGATCCTTATATTTACAGATAAGTATATCGTATACCACTCATTAAAGAAGCTTCTTTTTGAAACAGATAAAGGCTACTACAGAACCCCACAACTGGTCAGACACAGAGAATATACATCTGAGAGATGCCCAGTCTTGGGTAACATATCTTCAGTGGAACTTCTACATCTAAGACTCATGGAACATAGCAGAACAGGGGTTCAGGGGGTGGGGGGAGAAAACTAGTGCATCCCTCAACTCTCATCAGTGAAGCCTCCTTATACAACAGAGTGTGATGCACACAGAAGGCCACGACTGGCCAGCTTTTAAATAATAAGTGACTGTAGAGTGTGTGTCCCTGGATAGGACTCCTACATCAAACCTCTCCCACCCACGGCTCAGGGACCATTACGGAAGAGGGAGTAAGAAGATTGTAAGAGCCAGGGCTGGTTCAGCAGAGGTTTTCAGGCCACTGGAAACTTGCACATACGAACTTATAGAAATGGTGGCAATGAGTATAGGACCCGCGTCAACTCAATCAGACAAGGGCCCAGATTGGAGTGAGGGAAACAGGTGGAAGGTTGGCTCTAGTCTTGGAACTATTGGAGACGGATCACTACTGGGTAAGGAGAGTAGGCCTTACCAAAGATCTCTAGATAGGCTAACTAGACTCCAGTGGATGAATTTGCACTGATGGACATCTGAATACAAATGCTTGACTAGATAGGACTTAACATGTATAGCAGAAAACATGAGGTCCAGTGGTGGGGGGCATGGATGGGAGCAGGGGTCTAAATTTGACAAAGAACTGCTGTATGAAATGTAAAAAACCTCAATAAAAATAAATAAAACGAATAAAATTTGAACAGGGGCAGGAATGGAATTCAGAATGTGTTTTCAAAAGTCAATAGTTTCTCCTAATAGAAATATGCCAGTGAGCCTCTCTCATTTAAGATTGAAATAGAGGGGCTGGACAGCTGGCTCAACAGTTAAGAGCACTGGTTGCTTTTGCAGAAGACCTGTGTTCGATTCCCAGCACTCACATAGTAGCTAACAATCATCTGTAACTCCAGTTCCAGGGGATCCAACACCGTCTTCTGACTTCCACAGGCATTGCACAACACAGATGCATTTACGCACATGCAGGCAACACACTCATACGCTTACAATTAAAAAAAAGATGGAACTGGGAGAAATCTCACCTTTGTATTTGTTCCAGAATTCATTCTAAAACAACAAAAAATTAAAAACACATTAGAGAAAACAGACATTTCACACAACAGCAATCATTGTCCAGTAACCCACCCTGAGGAATGCTCCAGAACTGCTCCATCTGAAAGGGACAGCTGCCAGGATACCCTGCACCTGTGAAACCCTGCTTCCTATCCACTTCCACTGAAGTGGCCTTTGCTGAATATTGAAACTATATTTTCAAGAAACAGACTATAGTAAAAAACAAACAAACAACAACAAAAAAAAACACAAAAAACCCCAGCTCCATTCACTACCCACCAGCTGACTGATGTGTGAGGTTCAGTTAGATCTGGGCTAAAAATTCAGAAAAAAATCATGGGCTGCTGGCCATCATTATGTAAGCTGGAAAAAATGTGAATTGCTTATTAGGTTAAAACAGGTTAAAAGTCTGTATTACACTAATAGATGTTCACATTATATGCAGATGTAGCTAGTTTATTAGCACTTCCACCCCTCCATTCAGATCTACCTGGGACCTCAGATCTTTGTGGGTGTAATTAGAGTGAGGTCATCCAGGATTATCATAAGCTCTAAACCACTGAGAGTATCCCTTCCAAAGACAGAAAGGGATACCAGAAGCCAACAGAAGAGAAAGACCTGGAAGATGACAGAGGGGGCAGAGTGATGTCTGGATCCACAACAGCTGGAAAGAGGCCAGGAAAAGAGCTTCTGGCCCTCCAGGGCTCAACATTGGCCAGGTCCTGGTTTTGCACTCTGGCTTCCAGAACCTCAAGAGAAAAAAGCTTTTTTATTTCAAGCCACTCCCTTTGTTGGGCTTTGTAATGGTAGTCCTAGAATGTACTGTCTTTAAAATACTTTGGTTTAGGGGCAGGAGAGATGGCTCAGCATCAGTAACAAAGAGTAAAAGGAATTCTTGATTCCTTTTCTTTCTTGTGGTGGTGGAAATGAATGGTCATCTAGTGTCTGGCAACATGGGAATGTTCTTGCATACCAGGATCTCCGGAAATTCTAAGGCGTCTAGTCATGTGACCTGAACAGAGCTCACTCTGTGGGCCAACATGCAGTGGTGCTTCCTAGGATGCTCATCTATAATACTTTCCTCCTTATCATTGGCTTTCATGGCAGGAATCGGATATTCTTCCCTCATGTTATGGGATTCTTCCAGATACACATGACACAGTTGATGCCTGAGCTCTAAATGATTGTGGGATGGGCCTGTGAACATGGCCTTACCACCATTAATGGTCTCTGCTTGATTTTCAGAAAGCTGTCACTGCTGAGTTTAAGCACAGCATGCTCCCTTCATCTGTGATTTCAATGGGATCATGATAGACCGTATGGCCATGCAGAATGCAAAGGTGGTGAATTCAGGGTAAATTCTGTAATTATAAATTACAGATAAATAAATTCTGTAATCCCAGAATTGGTATTTAGTTAATGTCACTAACCAACTCCAAAAAACTTTTACATAGGGGATAGTCCTACTGTAGATAATGGATTTTTTCCTCAGAAAATCATTCGAGATTAAGTCTGAACGATTTTGATGACATCATGTTTTAACATCTTTGAGGCTGCTGTAAACATTGAGCTAGGAAACCATAGTGCAGCCTTGAGGATGGTACTCAGCTTATCTTCCTTCACTTTCTAGGATTTCCCTGACCTCAGTATGTCTCCCTGAGGCCTTTTGTTATTTGATGTGAATAAATAAATCCTCTTATCATTACTAGAGTTGACCCTGCCTTGTAGCTTGGTTTAAATATGAGGTCTCTTTCCTAGGCTTATGTATTGAATACTTGATTCCCAGGTGGTGGTGGTATTTGGGGAGGTTCCGGAAACTTTAGGTAGTGCTTAGCTGGAAAAAGAAGCTATGCTAGATAGCTAGATAGTGTCAACTGTCAACTTGACACGCCTGGGAAGAAAGAACCGTAACTGGGGAACTTCCTCTATGGGATTGGCCCGTGGGCATGCCTGTGAGGCATTTCCTTTATTGTTGAGTGCTTGGAGCTTAGTGAACTGTACTGTGGGAGGTTGGAAGATAATAATGTTGAGAGAGGTACAGATGATGGAAGCCTGGATTGTGAAGTTTCAGAAGGAAACAAAGACTCTATCAGGGCAGTTTGTATGGTGTATTTTAGATTAAGAATCTGTGGAAATGAAACCTTTTGTGCTTTACTGGGGTAATGAAGGTTGGATACCTGGGGCTAAAAACCTGCTGTGATCAATAAGCGACCAGCATCATTGAGATGAAATCTGCTGGGAAGCATTTCCTTAGGGTTAGCACACAGAAGCTGTGGTCCAGAGGGGACCAAGGCTGCATCGAAAGCTGAGCTTGATAATGTGAAAGAGTTCCCCATGTGGTACTAGTTTTGAAGGCCTGAGGGGGTCATGGAGAGAATCTGAGGTTTGGCACATTGTGAGACCAAGAGAGGCCACTGGTGAAGGTGTAGCCTCAATTGCAGTAGAGATCCCAGGATCAATGGGATCATGAAGAAACTCTGAGGCTTTGCACTGTGAGAGACCAGAAGGGGCCACTGGTTGCATTTTCAGTGAAGACCCCAGGGAGTAGAGATGTCAGGACCATGGGATGACCACCAAGGGCAGTGGTAGGTGTAGAGTGGCAGTGGTCTGAGTCTATGAGACAAGCTATGTGTGCTGTGGATGCAGAGTCAGAGAAGTGGCGCTTCCTAAGCCCTTGAGAGCCAGAAAATTATGACTGAGTCCCAGAAGAGATATACTGTTAGACTTTGGTTTTACTTAAGTGTGCCTGGTTCTTCCCTTTTGAAATAAGAAAGTATTAAACTTTTTTTTTTTATATAGGAGCCCACAGTTAAGAGACTGTATATTTTAATTAACTTTTTTTGGTCTTTTTGAGACAGGGTCTCCCTGTAGCCCCAGCTGGCCTTGAACTCACAGAGCTCCACCTGCCTCTGCTTCCTGAGTGCTGGGATTAAAGTTGTGCACTACCACACCTGGATCGAGTATTATAATTGTTAATATTTTATTTATTTATCTATCTATTTATTTATTTTTGGTCTTTTTGAGACAGGGTCTCCCTGTAGCCCCAGCTGGCCTGGAACTCACTATGTAGACCAGGCTGGCTGTGAACTCACAGAGTTCCACCTGCTTTTGCCTCCTGAGTGCTGGGACTAAAGGAATGGGCCACCATGCCCAGCGTTTTATTTATTATTTTTATTTTATGTGTATGAGTGTATTGCTTTCATGTGTGTAAGTGCACCCATGTTATGCAATGCCCAAGGAGGTGAGAAGAAGGTGTCGGATCCCCTAGAACTGGAGTTACAAATGAATGCTAGTCACAATATAGGTGCTGGGAATCGAACCTGGGTCGTCTGCAAGAGCAGTCAATACTCATAACTGCCAAGACATCTCTCCAGCCCCAAGTATTATAATTTATTTTTTTTTCATTTATTTGGACAGGGTCTCCCTGTAGCCCCAGCTGGCCTAAAACTTGCTGGAGACCAGGCTGGCCTGGATCTCATAGAAATCCACTTGCTTCTGCCTCCTGAGTGCTGGGATCAAAGGTGTGCACCACCACACCTGGCAAGTATTAGAATTTTTAAGGACTGTGAGACTTTTAAAGTTGTACTATGTTCGATATTGGGATATTAATAGTAACATGAGATCTTGGGGACAGGAAATGGAAAAGTTATTGTTTAATCATGATGGGAAGTTGACAAGGGGTCAATTGTGATGAATAGCTTCAGTTGTCAACTTGATAACACCTGGGAAGATGGAACCTCAGTTGGGGAATTTCTTCTATCTTATTGGCCTGTGGGTATATCTGTGTGGCATTTTCCTGACTGCAGAGTGATGTGGGAGGGCCTAGCCCACTGTGGGTGGTGCCATCCCTGGGCATGTGGTCCCGAGTTGTGTATGAAAGCAGGCTGAGCACAGGCCAGAGGAGCAAGCCAGTATGCAGCGTTCCTCAGTGATCTGTGCTTCAGCTCCTGCTTCCAGGTTCCTGCCCTGAGTTCCTTCCTTGGCTTTCTTTGGTGACGACAAAGTCAAATAAGTCAAATAAACCCTTTCCTCCCCATGGTGGTTCTGGTCAGGGCTTTATCACAGCAATAGAAAGTAACTAGGACAGTAGATTACTGGGGATCTTTGGAGGTGTTTTGTCTCTAGCTCCTTCCTGTCTCCCTCTGTGCTTCTGTCTGTCATGAGATTGAACATGTTGCCTCTGGCTGTTGTCATAGTGTTCTGCCCAGCTTAAGGAATGAAGTAATCACAGACCAAATGAACCCTTTGATAGTGAAAGCCGAAACATTTCCTCTCTTTAAGCTGTTTCCTCAGGTATTTAGTCATAGCTATAGGAAGGCAACCAATACAATTCCAGCATTCAGGGGTCACACTGGCCCGAACCCTCCTGGTGATCTTGGTCTGGTGGTCCTGGGCTTCGGGTGATCGTATTCCTAGATGGAGCCAGTGATGTGGCTACAGAAGTTGTGCAGTTCTCACTCTGTGGCCTTCAGTGGAGGCAGTGGATCTTGCAGTTTCCATATGGGTCTGACAGCTGCCTGGCATTACTTTTCCCATGAAGCCCTGGCTTGGCCCTCTTTGGTGGGGGAACTCTGCTCTTTAGCTTATTCTTGTTAGTTTGGGCGCATAGTTCCACTGGCAGACCCTCCTTTTCTGGGGAAAAGGGTGGGGTTCCCCCCTGCTTCTGCACAGGTGGTGGTACTGCAGACCTGTTGTATGTCTGCATGCTCTGCCTGCTCTTCCTAATCACAGAGCACCTCGCCTACTGGAGGGGGAGGGTGGCAGCCCCTGGTCCCTCTGTGTGCATTCAGCTGGAAGCACTGGCTAGGACCATGAGATTTTTCTTTAATAGCCATTTTGTTTGTGACTTGGTCACATTTGCAAGTTCTCAACACCCTTCTGTGATGTAACATGTTCCTTCCCCTGAGCTTTCCCATTCAAGAAGAGAGCCGGGAGGAGACCAGAATGAATGTCCTGTAGTCAATAGGCTAGGACGAGACTACTGCCTATCTAGCCCCTTAACTGCCCTCCCTGGCTACCCTTCGCAAAGGCCCAAAGCTGGGCCAGCCTGGTACTCTGTAACAGCCCAGCCTCCAGTCAGTAAGAAGCTGGGATGACCCAGCTCCAGCATCCTCCATGTGGATCTGGCCTGACTCACCGTCTTCTCATTGTCCTCAAAAACTTCTCTGGCCTCTTCATAAGAGCAAGTTTCTTCCAGACACTCTCTTTCTAGGTTTCCTTTCTTCATTTCTTCAAAAAGTGAGTTTGCCCTCCGAGTCCTTACCAGGATATTGTTGGCACGTTCCCGGTTAATGAACACTAGAAGACAGGGAAAGACCTGGGTGAAAGGGCCTCATCAGTTACCAGGTGTCTTCCAACAGCATGTCTCAAAAGACTGAAGACTATTTATAGGCTCTGAGGGATTGTGGGGACTACTGGCTCCCTTCCCTTGTCCTAAGGCACCCATAGATCTTCTCTGGAGAGAAACATGCCAGTCAGCTCACTTGTCTCCTGTAGGCCACCCACTGTTCATTTCACTAAGCAACCCCCTGCACATCTGCTAGCCTCAGGTGGCCACCCAAACCCTCCTCTGAATCCTCTCTGATCTCTGATCTAAGGGCATCCAGGCCCCTGTGACCACCTCAGGTCACTCTGTGCTCCATACCTCCCATACTCTGCCCTGATACCACCTGCCTTCAAGGCATCTGCTCTTGGTTGAATTGGAAATTATGCTGTTATTTTGATGATTATTTGTAAAACGTACAATTTATATCAAGTCCCAGAGCTCAAAGACTTAAAATGTTATAAGAAATAGTTCATTCCCTACGAAATATGGCCACAGGTCTTTCAGCTTAATCCTATTATTTTATTAAAGCAATGCCAAATTGATTTCAGGACTCACTGATATCTGATGATTTCAATACCTTAGGCCAGTATTTCAGATCTGTGTGTTGCTCCCACAGTGTGTGTTGGGGTGCTGTACTCCTCAGCCTATGACTTATTGTCTCCCACCCTTCCTCTCTTCACTGTGGCAATTGTCTGCTTTCTGTCTTCCACGTTGTACTGTCTTCCATTGAAGGATTTTGAACCTTACTGTGAGGCTGACTCTCACAGCTGACATTCCAGCTGGACCTCTGTCCCAGGCTCTTGCTTTCCCTCTCTCATAGAGACAGATGTCTCTACATCTTTGAACTCCAAGCTTCTCGTGTTCAGAATTAAAAAGCAGGACTGCAGAATCAAGCAACCTTATGCAAATCTTAGTCACATGATACCTATTGCTGCTTCTGAGTTTGGAATCTATGATTCCTGCTTCTTAGAGCTGTATTAGAGTTTGGTATACAGCAAGTGCTCGATCAATGTGAGCTTCATTCTTAACCTTAAGTCCCTTTCTTCCCAAAATTCTCCATTTTTCTTAGTGATATCTACATTATGCCTTAAATGCCATGCTCAGTCCCTCCCATCACTCTGCAATAACCACCCCCAACCCCAGTCAGGCACATACTTTGGAACATAGCTCACACTGGCAGAAGTCTGTCCACACTGTTGTCCCCAGGCCATAGTATCCTGCAACCACCACCCCAGAGAAGGCTAACTGCTCATTCCTCAGTCACAGAAGAAGCTGAGGGAGGCCCATCCTCATATCATCTCCTGTTCTCCTATGGGGTATCCACAGCCTCAGATTTAATCTCCAAGCCTTGTCCAGAGTTTCCCAAATTGTGACCTGTGGACCTCCCTCATTCTAGGTGGGGCTTGACTTTAATCTGCTCCCTGGTGTTCTCATGTATGCATATCTGAACACTGATCTGGGGTCCCTCCTTCCTTCCATGAAGCGTGCTTCATCGCCAGATGAATGTACTGTTTGGTTTTCTCTCTGCTGTCACAGAGACGCAGACCTGCTGCAAAGGTGAGTCCTCACTCAATAACCACACTCTCTTTCCCTCTTGTCCCTTAGACCATCTTGAACTTCATGATATTGCGCTATATCTCTTTCCTTGGCATCTGTCCCTGAATGTCCCTCAGTGTCATGGTTAGCTTCAGTTGTCAATTTGACACATCGAGGAAGAGGGAACCTCAATTGAGGAATTTCCTCCATATGATTGGCCATGTTTGTGGGGGCATTTTCTTGTGGCTAATTGGTAGGGTAAGCCCCAGCCCACCATGGGAAGGGCCATCCCTAGGTAGGTGGCCCTGGGATATATAATAAAGGTAGCTGAGCAACCCAGAGAAGACAAGCCAGTAAGCAGCATTCCTACATGGTCTGTACTTCTTTCTGTTCCTGCCTCCAGCTTAAGAGCCTGCCATGGCTTCCTTCAGTGATGGACTGTGGCCTTGGAGGTGTAAGCTAAATAAACCCTTTTCTCCCCAAGTTGGTTTTGGTCAGTGTTTTATCACAGCAACAGACAGCAAACTAATCCAGGGCAGCATTATCACGCCACATTACAGTTAATACCTGAATTAAACAGCCTGACTCTTAACTTTGATTTTTAAGAGTGGGCCCAAATTCAGAAGATACTTATGGAATTACACGTAGAAATATGTCCTACAACTGTGCTCTGGAGTCAGGCCTCACCCATAATTTTATTCAAAACCGTTGCAGTTTCAGTTGGGGAACTACAAATTTAGATCCACCCTTATCTTATCAGACAATCTTGCCTTTTCATGCCTAGACCTGAAGCATCTCATACACACAATGTCAAGTATTCTTCTCAATCTTCATCATTTTTAATGAAGATATACTGTCTTTCAGCACTTTGGTATGTTAATTATCAAGTATACCCACATTCATTAATTATCCTGGGGTGGAGTAGCAAATTATGAATCAAAGTCAGGTATCCAAGTCATAAGAGCACATGGTTAAGAAAGTTCACCAAGGTTAATTGAAAGTCATTAGTCCAGAGTCTGTCCATTTTATAAAAGTCATTTCTACAACTTGGGATGTTCCACTACTCAGCATTCACTCTTCCCTTCTTGCCTCTTTCTGAAAACCCACTTTCCCCTCTTCCCTACTGGTAGGGAAGAAAGGTGCCTACTGGTAGTGGTAGAAAGGTGCCTGGAGCTGGACCTCCAATGGGATAAGAAGTGTAGGGGACAAGACCAGGGTAGAAGAGGATGATGCTAAGAAGGCACTGTCTGGGACTAGAACCTGAGGCCTTCTATTTCCAAGACTGGCCTCTCAGGCTTCCTCCTTTCACCTCTCCCTTGAGTTACCACACTGGCCCTCTTACTGCTTGAACTAGGCCCTCTCTCCCCAAGGGCCTTTGCATCTGCCTTCTTCCCTGTCTGGAATATGTTCACCAGTGTGATGATTAATCTTTATTGTCCACCTAGGAGATTGAGACACACCTCTGGGTACATCCGTGAGGGTTTTTCCAGAGAGGACTGAGGTGGGGAAGATGCACCCTGAATGTGGGCAGTACCACCCTATGGGCTAGGAGCCCATACAGAATAAAAGAGGAGAAACAAAAGTCCAGAAGACCATAGAATTCCCCTTCCCTTGCTTCCTGACTGTCATGATGCAAGCTGCTCCCCATCTCCCTGCCACCGAGGACTGAACCTTCTGATAACATGAGCCCAAATAAATCCTTCCTCCCGTAAGTTGTCTAGGCCAGATATTTTGGTCACAGTGATGCTAAAGGAATTTATTTGCCCATATATCTGGATGGCTCACCCCACTGCTTGATCCTTCAAGAGATGTCCTCAACACCCCAGTCCAATGTCGTCCCCTCCTCCCATATCTCTCTGACCCTCTTGCCATGTGCTGTTTCTTGTCACCATAGGTAGATGATCTCTGATGTTACTTATCTCCTGGTCTGCTGCTGCCCCCTGGATAAGAATGTGGCCCCTGCAAACAGCCTGTCCGCCTAATAGCTGTGTACCCACCTGGAAAGAGCAGCTGCTTACTAAGTCCCTGTTCAATGAATGAAGGAGAGGGGGCTGGGCAACTGGCCAGGTCTCCAGGCCCTGCCGTCTTGACCCAATTTTAGTCACCACAGATGGCTCTGTTGGAGACTCACACTTGCTCTCCCGCCAGCCACACAGACCCACCCTGCCCAAGCCAGACTTTCTGATTTGAATAAAAACAAGATTGGCAGTTTGAGATTAAAACATGGTAAGGCTGTGAACATTTGTCTGTGGAAATCAGCAAAGACTCCAAAGCCCTGATTACAGTGTCTTGCTGCTTGTGTTTTGTTGATTGTGTCCTTTGAATTTCCAGTTTCCCCACATTGCCCTCTCAAACATGGGGCTGTCTCTGTGTCATTACAGACATTGATCCGTCGATCTGGGTTAGCAAGGTTTGCCAGCAATTCTTTTCCTCAATGAGGGCAAAGTGTGCAAAGAGTGGATCTGAGCTCTCCAAGTGGAGAAGTGGGAAACTGAAGCCTTGTAGCCAAGACCGTTTCTTCTACTGGTACAAGACCAGACCTGCGTGAGTGGGGCCTGCTCTGAGTTAACTAAAATAAACTCTTCTTCTGGGCAGGCCTGGGGTCTGCCTGTTGCCTACCTGTAAAGTCTCGCCTTGTGCTATCCCTGGCCCAGCGGAGCCACCAAGTGTGGGGGCCCTGGCTCCTGTCTCTCCCAAGCCTGGAGTGGCTCTGTCTCTGTCTCTCTGTTTTTCTCTCCTTATCTTTGCCCTGCTCTCTCCATATCTCTGTCTCTTTCTTCGTATATTTTCCTCTCTCTCACTGTCTGTCTATCATTCCCTCTCCTTCTCTCTCTGGCTTCCTTTTTTTGTGCTATACCTCCTTATTCACTGCACCTTTGGTTGGGAAGCCAGCCTGTGACTGGGCCAATGCACCCACCATGCCACCCTCCAACTACCCATCCTTGCCCCCTTCTCCTGGGCCAGTCTGCTCAGGCACTCACCGCCTCTTCCAGGCAGCAGGAGGCTGGCCAGGGCAATGTAGAGCAGGCTGAGTCGCAGCAGGCTCTCCATGGTGTGGTCAAGGACAGCAGCTGCTGTGATGGGTGTGGAGCAAGGTTCACTCACCCTGGGCCCCAGGTGGCCATCGGTCTTTCTGCTTATCTCAGCCTCCTGATTGGAGCCTGGGCCAGCGGTGAGGTCAGGGGACTGGGGACTGTGGTCACTGGCCCCAGCCTTCCCCAGGCAGAGTGGGCAGCTGGGAGATGGCAGCCAGGCTGTCCTTGCTAGAAACTGCCTTTCAGGGCCTGCTTTGGGTGGGCAGTCTGAGAGTAGCAATGCTGTTTTCTACATGTCCTCTCGTCTTTAGATGGTCATCCAGCTCCTGCTAGTTCTTATACTTGATGAAAGTCTCACTTCCCCATCATTTTTTTCAGAAACAGAAGCTGAGGTGTGGGGGCAATTGAAGCAAAGCATGGTCTCCAGGACAGATGTGGGATTTGCACCCAAGCTGCCAGGCTCTGAAAAGGGGTGGCCATTTTTCCTCCTTATGAATAGATGGCCCTGGAAGAGGAGGCCAGGGAAAGGCAGTCATCTCAAGCCTGTGACTGAGGAAATAGCTCTTCTCCCATGCTGTGGTCATGTGATTCTGCTGGGATTATATGTGTGTAGAATTGGGAGTACAGGCCAGGTGGTGGGGCTTCCCCTGAGTCCAGAAATCTCCCTCATAATGTTAGGCCCATGGCCAGTCACCAGAAGGCGCCACTAGAGTTTCTGTTCCAGAGTCTGTGGACATAAAACCCTAAAATTTGGCCTGTGATAGGATAGTGGCCATCCTGTCCCCACTTTCTCCAAGTGGGGGGCCCTGTGGGGGGTCATGCCCACATAGTACTCCTTAGAAGCCTTGTGTAGCAGATGCTATTCTTGAGCCTAGGGAGCATGCACACTGTCAGCACTTTAGTGGACAGGAGTATGGCTCCTGACACCCACTGTACTGGCCACTGCTTATGTTACACAGGGGCCAAATAGTGAAACTGGTTTTGTTTGGGGGGGGGGTCTGTCTTCTGCCCCCATCCTTTTTCTGGCACCACTCCCAGGCATGCTGATCCATAAGAAAGCATATCTCGTACTAAGCACATTGGTCTTTAGGGGGCCAGACCCTCAATGAGACCTCTCAAGGACACTTGGAGCCATGTCAGGATGGTTCTATGGGTTGGGCACCTGTGCTTCCTACTGGTGACTGGAGAAATGAGGCTGGCCTGGCACTCTATCAGGTCCTTCCAGCCTCCTCTTGTTTTGCCATCAACCCACCTTCCCTTTCTTCTTCCCAGGAGGAGTAGCCTTGCCAATGTTCATCTCCATGGAACCACAGCAGCTTGCAGAGACCAGGTTGGGTAGGGGCTGAGGAGTCCTTGTGTTCTGGCTATGGAATCTTCCTAGGCCACTGCTGCCTCAGTATGGTTGCAATGTTTTTACTGTATTCTGTAGCAGGTACAGGCCTCCCAGGTAAGGGAGGTCTACATGCACTGATCCCATCCTCACAATACACGTGGAAGCAAGCTCCTGTTTCACATGGAGGGGAAAGAGCAGATCTGGGAAGTCTGGCTGCATGTGGCTTGGGAGAGGTTAAGAAGTGGTTGAACAAGAAGTGGTTGTCCCTAGGCCAACTTGATTGGATTAAGAAATACCTAGTGGATTAGGAAGGCACACCTTTGGGTGTGTTTCTGAGGGCATTTTCAGAGAGGATTAACTGAGGGGAAGACATCCCTGAATGTAGCAGCACCATACCGTGGGCTGGGGTCTTGTACTGAATCAAAAAGGAAAAAGGAAAGCTGGGCACGGTGGTACATGTCTTTAATCTCAGCACTTGGGAGGCAGAGGTAGGCAAATTTCTGAGATTGAGGCCAGCCTGGTCTATATGGTTCCAGGTCAGCTAGGGCTACAGGGAGATCCTGAATCAAAAAACAAAAAACAGGAAAAGGAGGAGCTGGAGAGATGGCTCAGCTAAGATAAGAGCCTCCTCTCAGATAAGAGCACCTGCTGCTCTTGTAGAGGACCTGGGTTCTGTTCCCAGCATCCACATGACACTAACAACCATCTAAAATTCCAGTTCTAGGAGATCTGACACCCTCTTATGGCCTCTGCAGGCATTGCATGTGTGTGGTGCACTTACATACATGCAGGCAAAACACTCATACACAGTAAACTAAAATACTAAAAACAGATCAAAAAGAAAGGAGAAAGTAAATTGAACACCAGCATTCATCTCTCTCTGCTTCTTGACTGCTGACCCAGTGTGACCCTTCACCGTACTCATACTGCCCCACCATGATGGACTGAATCCCTTAAAATGTGAGCCAAAATTAGCTCTTCCTCTCTGCAGTTGGTTTTGACAGGTATTTCCTCACAGCAATGAGAAATTAATTATCACACAGACTTTGTAGGTCAGATATCTTTTCCATGGTTGGTCTCTATCCAGCCACTCCACAGATAATAGACCAATGGGTTATTCATATTCAACTGTTTGCAAATGCAAGTTACTTGGGTTTGGTCCTTGACCATAGTTTGCCAACCCCTGGGCTACTCTAGAGTAAATTTCCTAGACATCACCAAGATCCATTTCTGGTGCTGCCCATTGTTAGCACCTTGGCTCCAGGATGCCTCAAAATGTCAATTCAGAGAGGCAAGTGCTCCCCAAGTCTGTTCTCTAAGCCACACATTTGAATCTAAGTGAGCCCAATTCATTAACCTCCTCGTTCTTTGTCACAGTTTCTCATCCTTCCTCAGCTGGTGGTCTTAGGCTCAGTGGTCCTGGGGGCCATGTCAGAATGGAATCCCCAGGCTCCTTCCCTACCTGATCTCGTGAATCTGGGCAGAACTTGGGAACCTGCATATTTTGATGTATCTTTGGTGGTCCCTGGTGAGGTACTCTCTGGACCTGTGAGAAACCTCACTGACAAGGCCCTGGAGGGGAGAGGATTCTGCACCTGGTGTTTGGGGAATGGCAGCCTCAACACTAGGAACTCCTACTCCTAAGGATCACCTCCACCTAAGAGTTCATTTCAGTGACATTGAAAGAAAACAGGTTGACATCAGGGGCTCCACTCGGGGAATTACAGCTAACCCAGGAGACAAGCAGGCAATCCTCAAGGTGAGCTGAGTGAGAGCAGCTGCCCACTGTCAGGTGGGAAACCGTGAAGTCCATAGTAGGGACACCCACTTTACCTCAAAAACACTCATGCGGGAAACCTGGAAGGATGAGCCAAAATGCACAGGTGATGCCTCTCATTTAATTAAAATGAGGATGGAACGTTCATACAAAAAAGGAAGGAATGTAAGTGAACAGCAGCTGGAGGTTGTGTGTACTGTGTGTGTGTTATGTGCATCTGTGCATACCTACTGTCTCCAGCTCTGCAGGCTGAGCACATGCAGGAAGCAGGGGATTGTAGGTTGACAGTAGCGAAGGCTGGGCCTCAGCCTCGTGCATGACCACCCTTGGGCTGTCTGCCTATGGCTTGGCTCCTTAGGCCCTCTGAGTGTCTTTGTTAGTCTCTAAATCTGAATCTCTCCCTCTGCTTTTCTCTCTTTCAGCCTCCCTTCTATATCGCCCTCTCTGCTTCCTTCAGTCTTTCTGTATCTCTGTCCCTCCTTCTCTACCCACACCCTAAGAACTACAGGAGAATTGATAGGATTTGATGCAAGGCAGCTCCATGTAGTAACAGCCTCCTCCCTGGGAAGGGCTGGGCTATTCAAGGAGCTAGTGTAGCTGGGCGTGTATAAGCCCATGCCGAAGCTTGGAGCCCATGAGTCTGATCAGCCATTCAGTGTATCGGGAGATCCTGGTGTACACCCCAACGTGGCCCACAGCTGCGCAGCCCTCACCCCAGCTGACTATACCTGTCAGGTACCATGTACCTTGGTAATGTGTGGCATGTGGGCCCCCGCTGTCCCCCTTGCAGGCATCCTTGCTGCCATCCGTGTAGCCGGCACAGAACATGTTTTCTGTGATCACTGGGGTGCCAGGATTGCGCTGGGATTTCTCCAGGCAGTCCTGGGTCATCAATCGGGGTACTTGGATGGCCATGAGCTCCAGTGCTGTGGCACCACGGTCTAGCAGCTGGCCCCAACCACTGACCCTCGAGAAGCGGACTCTGGATAGTACGTTCTCAGAGAAGATCCTCTCTGGCAGACACAGGGGTACCACATAATCAGTGAAGACCACAGGCTGGTGCAGGCGCAGCAGGACAATGTCATGGTCAATCTTGCCTCGGATGTACTTGTCAGGGAAAATGAGTTGCACCACCTGCCGCACCTGCTCAGTCCCATCCTTCTCGCTGAGGTCATGCTCACCTGGGAGGAAGCCACATCATTCACGGCCATGTCCTACCATGTCTGGCCACATCCTCACCCAGAATTCTTGCTTGCCTTGTTCCTTTGGCCTAGAATATATGTGAATGAGGCTGCGGCCAGTTCTCCCTCTGGGGTCCTATCCAGGGTCATGGGCAGAGCCTGCCCTAGGGCTGCTGTAGCTATGGAGGGAAGGCTGTGAGTGGGTTGAACCTGGGGCATGGATGTTGAGGGTGAGTGAGGAGTAGATGGGTCTCGGCACCTCCTATGAGTGGGGGCAGGGTAGGCAGAGCAGCCCCAAGTCTCCTTATATCCCTGAGGGGAGGGAAGGGCTAAGAGAACAAAGTGGGTCTGCTCCAGTGCTGCTCTCCCTGGAAATGTCATCTGGACAGGGAGACTGATGAAGCCATGAAGCTGAATTCAGCCCCCTGAGCTACTGGTAGTCAGAAAATGTCCTCAGGTCAGGGGTCAGGGATGGGCCATACCTACCCAACACCACCGATATGTTCCTCCAGTTCCTGATGTCATCAAAACAGTGGGCTGCAGACACTACCCAGTTGGTGTCCAGTAGGATGGCCCCACACAAAAGCAACCCTTTGGTCATCAGCACAGCCTGGGTAGGGGCACACAGACACAGAAAGCCACACTGCTGTCATGGCCCCCTTGCTCTCAGGGAAGCAGCTGGCTTGACAGGATTCCTGTCTGAAATCTAGGGCCTCTAGGGATCCCTCCCAGCAGAGTGGGTTAGACCTGATTGGCAGCCATGCTTTTGGGGGGCTGGCTTGACAACAGGGATGCTGGATAGTAGGGTGCACCTGTAGGTCCCCAGGTGACCTATCTGTGATAGCAGTGGACCTTGCATGGTTCTCTGCATAAAATGGGCCTCAGTATCTGTTTTCTTCCCCCTCCCCTGCAGGGAGGGGTACCTCTGGCTGGGGTAAGGTGGGAGCTGGCCTAGATTCCCTGTGTGTGTGTAAGATCTCAAGTCTAAACTTCCAAGCCCTGGAGTGGGAACTCTGGAGCCAGGAAAGCCATGGCTGGAGAACTGAGGTCTGCATAAAACAGGGATCCTTACCTGCCATGGACATTCCCCTCTGGGGCACATCCTGCCCCCTACAATCCGGCCTTCGGGACTGCTAGCATTTCTTTTTTCCAGAACGGGTATTTTCCCACATGGGTACTCAACTGTATGAAACAGAAGTTAGGAAGAGGGGGACACAGAGGTGAAGGTGCTTGTTAGGGTAGAGGTTCAAAAGAAGCCTGCCCCTACCTCAGCTCCTGCTGGGGCCAGTGGGAGGCCTCAGGGTGGAGGAGGTGCGCACCTTCCTCTGGGGTGGGCAGGATGGGCCTGGGAGAGGAGACAGGCATTGGTTTGGGGGAAACTGAGGCCCTGCTGGGGGCCTCAGTTAGCTAGAGCAGGGCTCTACTAGCTCTTCACAGGGAAGAAGATGTATAGCTTGGGTTTGCTAGAAAGCAAGAGATGATCTGTGTAAAAGTGAATCTCCGGAATGAAAAACTCATGTTATTTTGACCTCATGTTTTGACCTGCACTGCAAAGTCCTCGGTAAAGAAAGAACATTTAACCGTAGCCTGCTGAGCTTCAGGTTTTGTGGATCAGGCTGAGCCCATCCTTAGCTGAGGAGATGCAGTAGTTTGGGATGGCTTCAGCCTTTGGTAGTGCAGCCTCATTAGCCCGAGATCAGTGAAGAGATTTGTTTTCCTCAGAGCACACACCTTTAAGAAATCTAGGACTGGGCTGGAGAGATGGCTCAGCAGTTAAGAGCACTGGCTGCTCTTGCGAAGGACCTAGGTTCAGTTCCCAGCATCCATATGGCAGCTAACAACTGTACCACCAGTTCCAGGGATCCGACACCCTCTTCTGACCTCCATGGGCATTGTATACATAGGTGCACTTACATACATGCAGACATTATACTCATATACACAAAATTTTAAAAAATTATTTAAAAAGAAGTCTAGGACTGTGTGGAAGTGGGCACAGATGCCAGGCATGTCTACAGGGGCTCATGAGTCCCTAGAGGTCCCAAATAGGGCATTAGAGGAGAGGCAGAGCCTCATCCCACCCCTGGCCTGCTTTCAATGGTCTGGGTGCCAAAGACAGGGCAGGGTGGTAGCCTAGGGTGCCATGCTGGGCACTGTTCTCTGGCAATTCTCAGACAGGGTAGACTTTCAGCTCTCATTTCCCCCACCTCACAGGCAGTCACCATTTGGCAGATACTCAGCAGGTATCTGGCCTTGTTACCCATCTTTAGGCTGATAACTTGCCACAGACCAGCCACAGTGACTGGTTTTTCAGAGACCACACCACTAGCTCCTGGAGCCTGTTACCTGTTGGTGTACAAGACACTCCATCCGGCAGTAGTGCATAACCCTTGTGACAGTGGCAGGTGCGCTTGGTCCCTGGATTGTCAGTGCAGTACTGTTCACAACCACCATTTTCATTCACACAGATAAGATCATCGTTCTTATCTGAGGACAGAAGAGGACAACCTGAGATGGGTCTTTGTGGGACCAGTAAGTTCACCCAGATGGTAGCTGTTCCTGTTTCCTTGGAAGGTGGTGTATAGCTGGAGGCTTCTGAGACTGGACTTAGCACCACTTGCCCTGTGGACTGATCCAGAGGGTTGAGACTCAGAGCTAGGAAGTCACATATCTGAGCAACCTTGACAGCTGGGGAGCACGTAGCCTCAATGGCATTTGGAGTATGGAGGCTCTCCTTCCAGGAGTCTGGTAGGAAGTTGGAAAAGGCCCTGAAGGGAAGCAAAAATTCCCTGGGGATAGTAAAAGTTCATAGGGAGGCCTGACCTATGGAAGAACCAAAGGGAGAAACTATTCTAGTGGCAACTTTCCTGCCCCATGTGAGTTAGGCAGGCCCTTGATCCTAACATGGGCCATGAGCCCAGATGGAAGAGTGGGAATGTTTGGTCCATTTTTGCAGGACTTGGACATGTGAGCCCAGGACTCCAGCAAGAAGCCTATATTATGACTCACAATCGGTGCTCACCAAGCTACATAGGCCTCCCAGGGCCCGTGACCATCAGGGACTTTTCTTTCTCTGACCCCAATTCTGCTGAAAGCAGAAGTCGGCTGTGGCCCAGAAGAGGTCACTTGATATCAACACATGCAGTTGGGCAGCAAAGAACCCCTGGCCCAAAGAGAGGATACTTTGGCCCCGGTCCAGGAGGTGACCTTGGGAGATCCTGACCACCAGGAATTTTGCTACTTGTCTGGGGTTTTGGGCCATGTCAGATGGCTACCTAATGATGTGACTGATGGTGGACCTCTGGAGGGGTTGGAGAGCAGGTCTGACATATCTTCATGACTGCCCATTAGGCTTAGGGTGAGGGGCTTCTTTGGTTGGTGATACCCCATAGGACTTGTCACATCCCATTCCGGAAGAACTGAGGACTGTGTATGAGAGGGATACTGGAAGCCTTTGTCAGCCCTTTGCAGGTTTTGGTCTAATAAGCTAACTGTGGTGATAACTATTTTGAATGAATTCTACAAGGCCTTCCAGTGAAGCGCTGAGCCCAGAGTGGTCTGGGGGCCTCTAGGCTTTGCAATACTTTGACATTTAAAAGCTAAAGAAATGCCTCACACATTTACACTAGCAGAGAAGATGGAGTAGACTTACCTGGTTAGGGGCCCTTCCCATCCCTCTCTCAAGACCATAAGAATTTCTATGCACAGGGAGCCTAAGGGGACATTGAATTTGAGACCCAGAATCCTAGACCCCTAGATAAAAGACCCTCAGTTTGGAAAGAGCACTCAGTGCCCCACTAGATCAACTTTCCATGGGGGCTGGGGCCAGGTTGGACACCAGCCCTGGATCATATAACTCCCCCTGAGCTCTGCTCATCTGTAGGCTGTGGCAGGAAGCTGGCCTCACTCTTTTCACAGTTCCGGCCCTCGAAGTCTTCCAGGCACAAGCAGATGTAGGATTGGAGCTGGTCCTGACAGGAGCCCCCATTCTGGCATGGATTCGAGGCACACTGGTTCCCATCTGTGGGTGAATTGGTGTTAGTGTGTTGAAGAGAAGGGTTGTGGGGAAGAACACAGATGGCCTTTCACCTACTTACCATTGTAAGTAATCCAGAACTGCTTCTGAGGGGGGAGAAGAAGCCACATGAGGTGTGTTCATGAGAAGCAGCAGTTAGCATCCAAGGAAGGTGCTTGGGAGCTGGGGGTGGGGCTCCTGACCTCTGCCTCTGTGAGGGGCTTCAGAAGTCAGTTTTCCTCTGGAGGTGAGGTGGGCTTCTTTGAGGGGGAATTTTTATCCTCTCCCAGGACATCTAAGGTTACCACATAGTTTTTTCTCCTACGTCAGAACACCTTAGTTCTGGCCTCAACTCTGCCTCCCCCAGTTGTGACCTGGGACAGAATACACATTCTCTGAACTTCCATTTCCTGATGGGTGGTCATTCTACATGGAGCTGACACAAGGAGACAGGTAACAGATTCAAAAACACTCCACAAACTGCAAAAATCTTCAGTGATCAATTGGTGCCTGAAGAAACTTTTGGCCAGTTGAACTTAAACTCAGGGCTGTTGTGAGATTAGAACAGATGAGAAATGTTGAAAAACTTCTGTAAGCTAAATAGGACAGAGCTAAGAAATGTTATGGGTCCCTGCTTGCCTGAAGAGCATCATGCTAGCCTCTAACCCAACTGCTGACATTCTGGTAAGTGTGAAATGAGGCTTCCTATGAGTGTGCATGTGAGTGTGCGTGTGAGTGTGAGTCTTGAGGTTTCCTATGAGTATGATTCCCCTGGCACTGGAGTTATGGACATTTGTTTACGGCCATGTGGGTGCTGAGATTCAAACCTGGGTCCTCTGCAAGAGCAGCCAGTGCTCTTAACCGCTGAGCCATCTCTCCAGCACCATTAATTCCTTTTTTAAACCCAGAGATGATGGCACAATGAAACATTATGAACATCCTGATCTCAAAGCCTTATCTCTTTATCATATCCCAACACACACACACTTCCTGGTAAAAAATGTTCAAAGGGAAATTTCTAACCAGAAAGGTAAATGCTTGACAATGACAAAATATGTATCTTTTAGAAAATGAAACTACATCCAGGTATGATGGCACATGTCTTTAATCCCAGCACTTGGGAGGTGGATGTCTGTGAGATCAAGGCCAGCCAGGTCTACATAGCGAGTTCTAGGCTAGCTGGAGCTAAGGGAGACCCTGTCTTAAAAAGAACATGAAACCACAGGGTCAGGCATGGTGACATGCTTTGGTTCCAACTATTGAGAAACAGAAGCTGAAGAATGGAGAGTTGGAGACCATTCTGGGCTATATAGTAAGACCTTGTCTCAAACTAAAACCAACAAACCAGACAATCAAATCAGAAATGAAGACAAATCTGTGCATATGGTTACGTTTGGTGAAAGGAGTTACGTTTCCTACGTGTTCCTCACACATTCCCAGAAGAGGTGGCCACTGCTGGTGCAGCAGTGGGGGTAATATTTGTGTCCAGTCCTACCCAGGGGGTAATTCTTCTTTCAGAAGACAACTTCTTGGGCAGCCCTGGATCCTTAGGGAACAAGGAATTTTCCTCTGGATGAACATATCTAATATGCTTTAGGAGTTACATTTCCTAATGTAAAAAATTTACATATGATGTAGCAGTGAGTGTGTGTCTGTGACAGCCAGGGTTGCTGTGCACCCATGTGTATTAAGTGCTAACCACCACAATAATGGAGAGACAGACTCTAAGACACAAGTGTGGCCTTCACAATCCCCAGCTCATTTCCTTCCTATAGCCTCTGCATGCCTACACATCAAGATGGCACTCAGGGTGAGGGGTACTCACAGTCCTCTCAGTGGTCTGGAAGATCTCTCGGGCTTCCTCAAAGGAACACTGTTCCTCCTTGCACTCCCTCTCCAGGGAGCCCAACCACAGTTCCTCCAGGAATGAGTTGGCACGCCTTTGCCTGTACAAGACACTGTGTGCTTCCTTCTGGGTTATAAAGACTGAGAAACAGAAGGTCCCATGAAATACTGGCAACTTTCCTCAACAAGCTGCACTGAAACCACCCACACTGGATCATCCCATTCAGTGATGGAAACACCCACACTGGATCATCTCAATGAGTGACAGAAACCACACGGGATCATCTCATCGAAGCCACCTACACTGGATTACACCCTTCCCTCATTGATGCTGGATTATCCTAATTAGCAAAGGAAACCACACTGGATCATCTCATTGAAGATACCTATACTGAATCACACCCCTCAGTGATGGAAACACTTACATTGGTCATCTCATTCAGTGACAGAAATCACTCACACTAGTGGTCTCTTAAAGACTGTCCACACTGGATTGTCACAGTCATGGAAACCACTCACACAAAATCATCTCATCCAGTGATGGAAACACCCACACTGGATCATCTTATGGAAACAACTACACTTGATCACATCCCTCCCATAGTGATAGAAACCTCCCATGCCCAACTCACTCAGCAGTGAAACAATCTACCTGTATTAGTCTTCTTCCATTCAGGAATGGAAATCAAAGGGTTCTGCCCATCACAAGTGATGGAAGGTACACAGGCCTTTTGCCTCAGTAGCTTACCCTGTCCTGTAGGCTGAGGGTCACAAAGAATGACAGCCCAGGTTTGATTGAATTTAAAATTGGGTGTGTAGGGGCTAGAGAGATGGCTCAGTGGTTAAGAACACTGGTTGTTCTTGCAGAAGACCCAGGTTCGAATCCCAGCACCCACATGGCAGCTAATAACTGTCCGTAACTCCAGTCCCAGGGGATCTAACAGCCTCTTCTGTCCTCCGTGGGCATTGTACAACATGGGTGCACTTACCCACATGCAGGCAATATACGCATACACATAAAATAAAAATAAATATTTTCCAAAAAAAATTGGGTGTGTTTTTCACTGATGGCTGATGACAGGTAACATGACACAAACTTATGTGGAAGTATAAGGTGATATGTTCATTAAGTGAAATTAAAATTTAATATATTCATCTGGTTTTGATCTGGTTATCATCCCTTTTAGGAATGTATCCTGAGGATGTACAAAAATTTCACAAAGTGATACATTGGTAGTAACACTCCAAAACTACCAAATGATAGTCTCTTACAACACCATTAAATACAAAGCCTAAGATGTGACACTGAACAAAGAGGAAGACTAAAACACACGTTGTACAATTCATTTCTTGGGTTGTATACATAAATAAACATACATGAACATACATCTAAATTCTTCATCTATTCCCCCATCCATACCTTCCGTCCTGTGCCCTGGTGACCAGCACCTACTTGACTCTCAAACCACATTGCCCCAGGGCATCAGATTTTCTAGTAAAAGCTCATCAATCAGCCTTGGGCATCCTGGCCACACCTGCCTCACCTGGGGTTTCCAGCCATATGATCCACCATGTTGGAGATGGTCTCTGTCAGGTCCCAGAACCAGAACCAGTCCCTCCCACATACCTCTTCTTCTCAGTGATCCTGACAGAAATAAGGATGTGACTAATGTCTCCACTTTGGTTCAGAAGAAAGTGTGGTTGGTGAGACTTAGAGTTCACCTAGGTCATCTCAGATTTGGTGGAGGCAGCTACAACAGTTTGAACATGCTGAATTTGAGGATTCTTTGGGACATCCTAATAGACACGTGGTCTGAATCCTAGGTGAGAGCATGGACATGAAGATGAGGATGTTCAAATTACCTAAAATTTTTCAGAGGTTGGGGCTGGAGAGATGGCTCAGTGGTTAAGAGCACTGGCAGCTCTTGCAGAGGACCCATGGTCGATTCCCAGCTCCTGCATGGTGGCTAACAACTGTCCATAACTCTAATTCCAGGGGAATCTGACCTTCTCTTCTGACCTCCTTGGGTACTGAATGACATGGGTACACTCACATGCAGGCAATACACTCATACATATAAAATAAAAGTATATTTTAAAGTTAGTCAGGAGGGGAAACTGAGAATGCAAATGAGGCCCTGAAAGTGCCCACAGGCCAACTATGCTGCATGAACTGTGTGCCTAGGATGTCCGTGGACAGGAAGATGTGAGACTGGGGTAGGAAGGGGGTGAATGGGAAGAAAAGCTGTTAGGGAAGATGCAGAAGCAGCCAATGTGTACAAGAAAAGCTCCAAAGGAGACAGGGTAGACAGGCTTAGCCTAGGCAGAAGAGTCATATTCAAAGTAGGAAAACCCAAATGGGCCTTGATTGGGGGGAGTGGCCTGAGATGGGGTTAAAAAGGTGACTCTGGCCACTAAGGAAATGTTGGTATGCTCAGCAGGAGGACCTCTGGAAGAAAAAGAATGAAAGTCAGATGAGTCATTTTGGAAAGGGACAGAGCATGGTGAGTACTAGGCCACATAGAGCTAAGGAACACCACATCCTTTTCTTTCAAATTAGATGCTCTTCACACACTTGTGTTTATAAGGGATTCAGTCTGGTTTGGAAGGAGAGAATGGGAGGCATTGTCAAACAGGGCCAATTGAGGACCTGCCATGGGCAGAAGGAAATTATGGGGAAAGACCCACATATCACCAGTCACCAAGTCACATACACCTCTCCAGTGGCTAACTGGAGTGGAGTGGTGGCCCTTTGGGAGAAGGCAAGTTTGCTTTGCGAAAGCTCCCAGAGATCCAAGGCAAACCTGATAGCAAATTCCTTCACACTGCTGCAGAAATTTTGGATAAGCAGAAAAGAACAGAGCTAAAGCTATCTGCTGTCTATTTATTATTCAGTTCTGTAGGGGACTAATCCACTAAGACTCTTTGGAGAACACAGAGCCACAAAGTTGGAAGGTGTACAGGATCCTTGCCATGGGCTTTGAAAGGGGATATCACACCAATTGTGAAGGACAGTGCTGGATGTATCACAGCTGGTACCAGGCATTAGGACACCCACAGAAGCCCCAACTAGTAGTCAGTGAGGCTCTGCAACTTCCACTACACCTCCCAAGCTTTTTCCTTTCAGGAATCGGTGCCATTGAGAGTGAGGGGCAGGCTATGGCTATTGTCATAGATCCAAGGTGGTGAGCAAGTCCTACAGCCCAGTGTTCCATGGTTGCTCCAACCTATCTGACCCTGGGCCATAGAGCTCTGCTCTGCTCTAAGTGATCCTAGGGTCTCTGAGCTTGTCCAACTTCACAGGCAGGTGCCCTCCCTACTTCCAAAAGTTCTTTGAAAACAACAGCCAAAGCTCCTCTCACCCATGAATAGCTTATGTTTGTCGTAGCAAGTGACCAGACACTGTTTGCTTTTGGCAAGGGCTAGCATCAAATGGCGCCTTTTATAAGGATTCCCAGTGACCTGCAATGTTCCAGCTTGGGCCAACTCTTAGAAACTTCTGCAAACAGCCTGGCTGCCCAACTCACCCAGCCCTCCCTGGATGGATGGACTTACATACCTGAAGCCCCTAGGGGTCCCTGAAGCCAGAGCAGAAAGCAGAGAAGCACCAGCCCACATGCCTCGGGAGCCATGATGGGGTTGCTGCTCTCTACTGGGATCTGTCCAGATAGGAACAACAGGGCAAAGGGCAGGAGGGGTGGGGGAGGGGCAGAAAAGGCCGGAACACTGGCTGAAAGCCACGTAAGGCTGGTTGGAGGCTAATTGTCCTGTATCTGGTAGTCACACACTCAGGGAAAGAGGAAAGGTGTGGTAGGTAAAGATGATGCAATCTTTCAAGTGCAATCTTGGGTCTCAGCACTCTGAGGACACAGACTAGAGGTGAGGAAACAGATATTAACGGAAGATGGAATCACACACTTAGAGTGATGACACTATACACAAGAGGATGCTGGGTATATGCCTGGGAAAGAGCCATAGGAAGATCAGGGTTGTCTAGCCCTCATTGTATGCAGGTCTGGCTCTGGGGAGCTTTTCTGCCCCTCACCGGAGATGCATCTCCCAGCGGGTGGCTTATGACTTGCTCTTCCATGCTCTTTGACCCAGGTACCTAGTGGGGCCTCTAGATACCGGGTTGCCTGGGATTGAGGAAGTTTCTCAGGATGTGGGACTTTCTGTGCAAAAACTGGGTTTAACCAGGAACACTGGGTTAATGGTCATGCAGCCTCCTTAGCCACACTATGGGCTTAGGTTAGGGCCCTCTACAGACAGATGTCCTTCAGGGACAGGTATAAGGCTGACCATTTTGGGGGGAGCCAGGTGTCACCTGGGGAGGTATCTTCTACTTTGTACCATCACAGTCTGCCTCAGAGGCATCTCTGACTCCTGGGGTCACTTTGGAATCAGGAAGTGCTTCCTCTGATCTAGCTCAACTCTCATCAAGCAAAAACTTAACCACTTCACCACAAGGTGAATCTAAGGACATGGGAGGAGGCAGTAACAGTTCACCCCAGCCTTCTCACTTAAGTGGAGGCTAGTGTCTCCACTTCCATTTTGGGGCTCTAGGTTAAGGGTATTCAGCTTTTGGAGTGGTAAAACAACCCGAGGAGCCTCAGAGAACAGGAGCTGAGCCCATCTGGGTCTCAGAGTCTGAGTGAGGTCCTTCAGCAAATGGTGGTCCCCTGGGGGCATGTCCCTGTGTTGGCTCCTGGGTCTCAAGGTTTCAGGGGTTCTACCTAGACCTGCCAAGACCTTGCCCACTTGGTCTCCCTTCTATGCATTTCCATTTGCATTGTGCTTGGTCCTGACACAAAGAGGGGCAGGTGTGAGGGCCATTACCTGCCTCTCAGACCCCCATTTGCTTACTCAGGGAGGATAAGCAGGCTTCCCTGGGATCCCAGCCTCCCCTTCATGTGTGTACTGAGGTACCATCTTCCCCTATCCTGGACAGGGGATGCCAAGCTTCACTGGTCACTAGCTTCCCTCTTCTCTAGGGCAATGTCCATTGACCTGTTAACTGCCCATGTGCACTCCCTGCAGCCTGCAGAGCAAGGCTGGGTTCCTCTGCACACCATCACACATCAGTCTCTCCGATTTGCACCTGACACAGGGGAGCTGCTCAGAAGAGTGAATGTGTGCCACCTGGGGGCACACATGCACTGTGCTCACACTTACACATACACTTGCACACACACATCTGCACACAATTATTTGCTATTCTCACATCTACATTACACTATATCCGTGCACATCCCATGTACATTTATGTTGTGCTCACACGTACAGCCATGCTACACTCACACACCTGTACACACATGACACCTACAGAATTAGAGGCTCCTTCACCTTAAGAGGAGTGAGAATTTCAGGGGTGGTCCTGAGAATAGGTACAGGGGATGGGGAGAGTTCTGATGCTGTGAAGTTTGGGAATCAATGGTGATGATGTTAATAATTTGAAGTTTAAGAAATAGAGTGCTGACCTGAGAACTAAAGGTTATAATTGCGAACATCACTTTTATTTTCCTCTGGATTTTTGTCTTGCTTTGTGGATTAGTCTTGAGGACTCCATTGCTAATAATGAGTGGATTCTCCTGGATTTCCTAGTCATGAAACGTTACTTTTCACCTTCCTGTGCTTCCTTTCCCTTTCCTGTGCGCTATCCACTAGCACTTGTAGTAAATTATCTGAATAGTGGGACACCCCCATGTTTGTCCTCTCTGATATGAGGACCATTGCCCACTTGGATCTGGATACTAAACATATCTATATACTTGAAACTTTTGCTTTGAAGATTGTTAGACACACGATCATGTTAAAAATGTTTTTTCTACCTTTGGTGGGATAACCATAAATAAATGATAAATAGAAATGGAAAGAGTTTTGTACATCACTGGAGCTGCTGACTTCCATGACTAAGTTTAACATGATGAATTATAGCAGTATTTTTCTGATATCTCACCATCCTTGCTTTACGGACAACTTTAGTTGGTTGAAATGTGTCTCTGTGTTTTGTTTTGTTTTTTCCCCAACACAGACTAGTGCTATTCTCTTGGTTGCCCACCATAACTAGATGGTTGTTGAAGATACAACATGCTTTGTTTGTAGCACATAGAGAAATTAAGATGGATGTGACCTGGAAATTTTCCTCCTGCTGGTTAGCTTTCTGGTGCTAAAAGTGCTATGCAGCCCACTGGGTGAGAAAAGTCATCACTTGACTTACCCAGCAGTGGACCCCGCATGCTACAGTACCAACCTGCCAAGAAAGGTGTGCCCATGAGTGCAAAAGTGGCATGACTGTTTGGGGGGTAACCAACTGCTTTCTTATTGGATTTGAGGCCTGCTCCCAGGAGGGAATTCACGCCTGAGGTGTGCCCATGAGTGCAAAAGTGGCATGACTGTTTGGGGGGTAACCAACTACTTTCTTATTGGATTTGAGGCCTGCTCCCAGGAGGGAATTCACACCTGGTACTGAACCTGGTCAAAAGCCCATGGCTGGAGAGATCATTGGTGTGTGTGTGTGTGTGTGTGTGTGTGTGATTTACTACTGTTGTTTTGATGTTTTGCTAAACATGCATGTTGTCAAACTGCCTTGTAAATATTTATGGTTATACTCATAGATTAATGCTGATTTAAACCTTGGTTTATCTAAGCAATCAATGCCAGGACTTATAATTTGCCAAAGTTCTGAGGATAAGTGACATTTTAGTTGCCTTAAATGAGACATCTATATCAACCCCTACAAGGCTCAGGAAATTTTGGGGAGAGAGGGCAAGAACAAAGTAAGAGCCAAAGGTTGGGGAGGAATGCAGGGAAGGTTTGTCTTCTGGATGTGACATGGTTGTTGCACTCATGAATGCAAACTGTACAAGACCTGGAAAAGATCAAGCCAATCAACAATTCCAACATGGATTGGGGAGGGGATGATGAGGCTGAACCCTTAAGCTGAGGAGCTATTGGCAATTGATGGCTGCTGTGTGTGTGTGAGCGTTCATTTTTCTTTGGAAGAGTGGCTGCTGGTAGGTTGCTCACGCCCATACAGGCAGCACTAATTGGACTTGGTGAGTTATTGAAATAAAAAACAAGAAGACATGAAGGTGGGAGGGACATTTGATAGACGGAAGTCTGGAGGGAATGAGGGGAAAGTTGGTGATGGATTTGATCAAGATACATTGTATATATGTGTACAACTGTCAAAGAATAAACAGAAATATTGTTTTAAAATGTGGATTATTTTGTTTCTTCCGTCCCTTTTGTAGTGGGTACTAGAGCCCAGGACTGTAGTATACTAAACAAATGCTCTCTCCATCAAGCCTCCAGCCTGTATTTTATTTATGACATGTAGTTGAATTTTAGAATTTTCATATCTTTAAAGATTTATTTTATTTGTAGTTATGTGTGTCTGTATGTCTGTGTGTGTCTGTGTGTGGGTATGTGCACATGAAGGTGCCTGAAGAGGCCAGAAGTGTCAACCCCCTGGAGCTAGAGTTCCAGGTGTTTGTGAACCTCTCAACATGAGTGCTGAGAACCGAACTTAGGTCTTCTGGAAGAGTTAATCACTGGGCTATTTCTCCAGACCCTAAAACTTTATTTTTATTTTCTTATTGATTGTGGATAATTCCTTTTAAAACTTTTTATTGAATTTTTGTGCATTTTATATAATACATCTTGATCATATTTAGATCCCGTTCCCTATCTGCACCCCCATATCCTCCCCACTGGATTTCATATATTCTGTCATATATTTTAAGGCTTCACAAGTCAAGTTTTGTGTCCCCAAATGTCCCCCAGTGTGAGTCCATCCACTGGAGCCTGGTTAGCCTATCTAGTGACACTCCCTTAAAGAAGACCAACTCTTCCTCACACAGCAGTGATCAGTTTCTAATAGTTCCTCAGCAAAGGTTGGAGCTTCTTACCCACCAAAACTTTATTTTTATGGATATAATCTTTGTCAGGTTTGAATATCAAGATTAATCTTGATTCATAAGCTTATTGGGTTGCTTTTTCCCTTTTTTGTTCTTTGAATGACTTTGTGTAACTATTTTTAGAGGTCTAGTTTATTTGGGGTTAAATTTTTATTTATTTTTATTTGATGTTTATGAATGTTTTGCCTGCATGTATGTAAGTGAACCAGTGTCATGCAAAGCCCGAAGAGGCCAGAGGAAGGCATTGGACACTGTCCTAGTTACTTTCTTTTGCCACAATAAAACCACTGACCAAACTAACTTGGGGAGCAAAGGGTTTAGTTTACCTTACATCTCCCAGGTCATCATTCATCACTGAGGGAAGTCAGGGCAGGAAGTCAGGGCAGGAACCTGGAGGCAGGAGCTGAGCACAGACCATGGAGGAATGCTGCTTATTGGCTTGCTCCCCTAGCTTGTGCTCAGCCTGCTTTCTTATACAACACATGTCCACCTGCCCAGGAGTGGTACCATCCACAGTGGGCTGGTGGTGCCCATAGCGCTTAACAATCAAGAAAATGCTCCACTGGAGCCAATCCAATGGAGGAAATTCTTCAATTGATGCTCCCTCTACCCAGGTGTGTCAAGTTGACAAATGAAGTTATCCAGCACAGATACCCTAGTACTGGAGTTTTGAACAGTTGTTAGCTGCCATGTGGGTGTTGGGAAGAACAATGTTCTTAAAAGCTGAGCCATCTCTCCAGTTGCTGAGTTTTTTTTTAATTGCAATTTAATTTCTTTATTATCTAGTCATCAACTCAATTATTTTTAATTAAATGAAATTCATCATTATTGTTGTGTGTATGATGCATGTGTGGCGGTCAGAGGACAACTTTTGGCAGTTCATTCTTTCCTTTCACTATGGAATCTTGGGATCCAACTCAAAAAATTAGTCAAACCAAGTATTTTGTTTTTACCGGTTCAATTTTTAAAAAATTCTTTTTTTTGTTTAGAAACAGGATGGCCTCAAACTTGCCATGTAGCTTAGGATGATTCCGCACTTCTAGTCTTCGTTGATTTTGTTGTGTAAGGCTAAGTGCGGTGGGGGCTGCAAGCCTCCGTCTCAGCTGTGTTTCAGCTGCAGCTCTGACAGGTATCTGTCCAGCTCCAGGGAGCAGGGTCTCAATGACATTGCCTTTCTAACATGGGTCTTAGAAACATGATTTAGACTTCCAAGTATCTTTACAAACTGTCTTTTTCATTACTTTGTAAATATTTTGTGTATGTTCCATGTGTGATGAAAATGGTATTTTATTTTTCTTTTTGCTTGTTTGTTTTTGAGACAAGGTTTCCCTGTAGGCCCAGCTGACCTGGAACTCACTTTGTAGACCAGGCTGGCCTTGATCTCATAGAGATCCACCTGCCTCTACCCTCTGAGAGTTGGGATTAAAGGCATGCACCATCATGCCTGGCATTTTTTTTTTCTTTTTGAAACGATAAATAGGCACCAATTTCTGTGACAGTAAACATCTGACCCTGACTGCCAAGGCATTTTCTCTAAATTTTTTTGTTCTGTTTTGTTTTTTGAGACAGGGTCTTACTATGTAGTCCTGGCTGGCTTGGAACGCATAGAGATCTGCCTGCCTCTGCCTCTGCTGGAGCCTATTCCCTCCATTTTGAGCCTTATTATTGGTTGCTTACAAGTTTGTTATTGCTACATAGTTCCTTATACTTTTAACTGCCCTAAATTTAATTTTGCATGTTATTAGTATTGGTATGCCTACTTTATTCAGTGTTTATTTAGGGCAATATTTTATTTTTATTTCATTTTATTTTTTTGCCTATCCAATTTGGTGCTCTCAACATTAGTCAGAATTGTGAGGCAGACATGTCTGGATTCATCTTTTCACTATATATTTTTTTCTGCTCCCTGTTCCTCCTTTCTCCACCCTCTACTTCTCATAGATCAATAAGCTCCCTCTAATCTCTGCTTTTTGGTGAGAAGCTGCCCTGTGCTGTTAACAGTCTGGCACAGTTCTGTCACAGTTCTGCTGCATGTCTCTGGTTAGCTTCACATTTCTACAAGAGTATCCTGTTACTGTTTCATCATTATCACTGTATGACAGAATAAAACATATAACATTATAAGAGGCTCGGTGCATGCACCTCCCCTGGGGCCTGGTCTTTTTGAGACAGGGTCTCCCTGTAGTCCCAGCTGGCCTGGAACTCACTATGTAGACCAGGTTAGCCTTGAACTCCCAGAGATCCTCCTGCCTCTACCTCCCAAGTGCTGAAATTAAAGGCATGTGCCACCATGCCCAGCCTGCTTCATTTCTTGTACCTGTCACACTGGGCATTCATGACCATCACAAGGTGCTATCCTGCCGGAAGTCCAGCATGTGCCACCATGCCCAGCCTGCTTCATTTCTTGTACCTGTCACACTGGGTATTTATTCATGACCATCACAAGGTGCTATCCTGCCGGAAGTCCTGTGTCTTCATCTAGATGACAGACAGCAGGAGTTGGTGACCTTTAAATTTTTTAAAATTTATTTTTATTTTATGTGTCTGAGTGTTTCGCATGAGTGTGTGTATACCTGTGTTGTGCAATGCTTGCAGAGACCAGAAGACAACACCAGATCCCTGGAACTGGAGTTACAGATGGCTGTTAGCTACCATGTGGGTGCTGGGAACCAAAGCTGGGTCCTCTGCAAGAGCAGCCAGTGCTCTTCCACTGAGCCATATCTTCAGCTCTAAGTTGCTGATCTTTATTGAAACCTGAGCCACACAATAAAGACTTCTGACTTTATATTTTCATTTATATCAGCAGTAGAAAGAAAAAGCAACGTGACATGAATGTGACATTTTAAAGTGCCTTTATGATGAAGAGAACACAAAAGAGGGTGGCCAAACCCCTATGGAGATGGAGGAAACGGCGACTAAACAGCAGGCTAGGCAGATTATGTTCCACAGTATTTCCCAAATAATGTATACACCGGAACAGCTACAGAATCTTTGCACGTTTTCTATTTTATTACCATTCTCTGAAGGTGTGGCCAGTGATGGCTCTGCAAGCCATAGGGCCGGGGAGGTGGGCGCTTTTTACCTGGGACGTACAGTGGGGAACGAGCCGCGGTGGCCTCCCATGGCAGCAGGGCGAGGAGACAGGGAGGGACCGTAAAGTGACAGATGTTCAGCAGCGTGAGACCATAAATACATCTTTTACATCCAGACCATATGTACAAATGTGAACATATATACAAACACATACAAAAATATCTGCCTTACTAGGTAAAGAAAGTTTCCAAGGAACAGAATTTGTTTCTGAAACACACACAGAAAGGAGAAAAACAACTTTCATTGCAGTTCTGCTTTGACTTGAAATTAGGCTGCAGACCCCCTCCTCCCGTGTGCTCAGCTGCAGATGCTCTGCTGCAGGGCAGGAGGCAGGTAGTGCTGGGGAGAGGAAGCGGGGCCTACCCTGATGCTGGGTTGCAGCCAGTGTCTGTGTTGCTGAGGATGGCTGTCAGCATGGATCTTTACATTTTCTTTAAAAATAATAAAAATATCCTAGTTTAATGAAGTTCTTTAAAAAATGGAGAGTCCCCTTTTTATTGTAGAAAAGAAGGTTAATATTTTAAATTATACTTTGCATTTCTTGTGAAAATGAAACCTATGTAGATGAAGGAATTTCAGTGGTTTCCAACCGCTTTTGGTCATGGAGACACCACCTGACTTAGCAGGTTTTCGTTCACCTGTGACAGATGTGCTCCAGGGGGTGCCAGGTCTCAGTGAGAACGCCCCAGAAATCACTTAGTGGTATAAACAACGTGCTTCAATGTAAACCCCAGTAACAAAAAATAGTTTTATATCAAATACAGTATCAAATTGTCATTTCATGTAAACACAGTGATTCTTGGTAAAGATTTGAGGCCAGAGTACCACAAAAAAATGGCCATGGGATTAATCCCTGTTTAAAAAAAAAAATCAAAAACTTATAAAAGACAAGAGGACAAGAGTCCCCCGACCCCTCCTTAGGCTGTTGGTAGCAAACTGTTCACTCCTGTTGGAAGCGGCTTCCTTAGGATGGCATTCCCGCAGAAAGCACCACATCAGAGAGGTCAGGACAGTGTGGAGAGGCTGCATAGCAGAGGCTGTTGGCTGCCCCCCACCTTTCTGCACGGGGTTTTCTGACCCATAGCCCCTCCTCCGTCCACTCTGGGTTTTCTGCAGAAGCTTTGGTGGACTGTTGTCTCCTGGCCTCTGCACATGCAGTGGAGTCTTGGCGTCAAGGCCCAGTGTCCTCTGAAGCCCATGGGTTGATAAAGTCCTCCTGCTTTCAGATGTCTTGGAGCACCATCCCCTCCCAAACTAAGCAAGCCCAAGCAAAAGAAAACTTAGAGATTTGCATGCTGGTCTACTGCACGGTGGCCTCGAGCATCCACCACGAAGGCCTGGCCACTACCCCTGGAGGTCGGAGAAGGGAGTGGGGCAGCCCTCGCTGCAGCTGGAGGAGTTGCTCAGCACGGCTGACCCTGGGCTGGAGTCTGCGGGAAACCAGTGGAGACAGGCTTCGGCTCTGGCTCTTTCCTCTGCACACCTAGAAACCCCTCTGCTTTTAAACAGGCTCTGGGTTGAGAACCTTGGGAGGCTCAGGGCACAGCTGACGCGCACGGTGGGTCTTACCTGAGCTGCTCAGACACTGGGCTGAACTGGATTTGCCCAGGAGGGTGGAAAGGCTGCTGGCTGGCACCCATCCCTCCTTGCTGCTGGTCAGGTCCCGGACATACCTGAAAGGGGAAGTCAGTGGCTGTACCATGTGCCCACAGTCTGAAGTTGGGCACATCTGAGGTGGGAACACATAGAGGTGAGTCTGACGTGTGGGCACACAGGGTGTGTCTGAGGTGGAAACACAGAAGGTGTCTGAGGTATGAACACACAGGGTATGTCTGAGGTGCCATCTTACCAGAGCCCCTCTGCGCCCTCTTCCACCACCTCTACCATGTCCCCGCTCCTCACAGCAAGGGTGTCAAGGCCCCCTTTCTCATCGTCCATCACCACTGTGTATTTACCAGGAACCTGAGGGGGACAAAGGGACAAAGCTGAGGTTCCAGCTTGTCAGCACTTGCTTCCTGTCAGCACCAGCAAGCAAACAACACACTAGTGCTCTCTGCCCTGTGCAGTTCCAGCCACAGACCAGCAGGAGTGACCACACCCAGAGTAGGCTTCCAATTGTCAGCAGCAAGGGGAAGACCAGTGCTGTGTTAGGGTCCTGCCATTTGTGGGGGTTCTGGTGAGATTTCTGGCTTAAATGGAAAAGAGTCCTAGTCTTGGAGAGATGGTACACCTCACATTGTGACCATGTTAAAAGTGAAAATGGATGTACCAATGTATCCTCAATACTATATGCCCTCATGCGCTGGCCATGAGTCGCTCCTTGCTAATTTCCAAGCCAGTACGGGTAGAACTTGTTGGAAATCTTGTTTAGAATATTCTCCTGGAAATCTTGTTTAGAATATTCTCCTGATGTGGAGGTAAGCCTGAGTGTGGACAGTCTCCTTAAGAAGGGGTCTACCATGCCATGCCTAGACTCTAGAAGACACAGGTGAGTATACAGTTACATGGTATTATGGGCAGCAGACTGTGACCCAAGTGAGTAATGTATGTCTCTGGATGAGAAGCTGTAACCAAAAGGAGGATCCAGGCCAAGGTGGATTGTCTACAATGTTCCTTTATCACGGGCATTCAAAAGCACCCACCCTGAGCCACCCACAGGGACCAAGGTTACCAGCTTCTTGGGGCCCACTCCATCTTCCTCTGCATCAGATGAATTGACAAGCTCCTCAGCACTGGACCAACCTCCGTCCTCCTCAGGGGCTTCCAGGGAGTGGGATGTTTTGCTCCAGCCTAGGGGAAGCAGTTTCCTGTGAGGGCCACACCCATGATGCAGTCACCATTCCCCAACTGGGTTCCACATGAGTCTCATAGCCCCCCTGGAATGTGTAGCTGTAGGACCCCAAGCTGAGGCTGTCATCTGATGTTCATCTGATGTTCATGACCTGTGTTGTAGGTGATAGCCCTCTGTCCTTGTTTGGAACCACCTGTCCAGGTTCCCCACTGGCTTCCTCCACACCCTTCCAAAATGCTTGGTACATTCTGCTAAGAGGGAGGTGGGGTGAAAGAGTATCTAGTTCTGTCTTCCAGGCCACTCTGAGGGGGTAAGTTGAGGCCAAGACCTGCCCTGGATATCTGTACCCTCTTCAAGTTCCAGGCCCTACCAAACCCACCTGCCTGGCCTGTGTTATATAGCAAACTCTCTGAAGGGAAGGTATCGTCAGTTAAAACTGTGATGGTCAACGCCTACTCTGGCAGGGAAAACGGTTTCTTGCAAAAATGACCAAGTAAATTCCTGACCTGTGAGCTATACAGGGCTGTGGTTCTTATGAGGCAGATAACAACCAGGAAGATTCCAGGCCATGAGTAAGCAACCCCAGCAACTTAGAGCTCCAGCCCTGCCATCTGGCAAAGCCATTAGGTCAGCCAGTAGGGACCCAAAATTGTGCCTATTACTTTGCTCCTGTTTCTCCTGCTGTGTGCCCTGAAGGGTAGCAGCAGTATTTCCCATCTGCAAAGATGTAGGTGGCAAATTCCTGCTGATTAAATCCTGCAGGGATAGGAATAGGGTAAGGAGATTACACTGCACTCTATGGTATGAGACAGTTACCCCATGATATTGGAGCAGACATCAACAAAAGACACAGCAGTAAAACAAGCAAGTCTGCCCTCTGGATCCTAGCCTGGGCACATCTGGTGCCACATTCTACTTGGTGCAGATGCAAACGTGCTTCCTCCTCCATGAAAGAATGCCACAGTATGAAGGAATAATAGAAGAACCCCCATAAGGGGGCATGTTATCTCTGCAGCCAGCTCCCTCATGGCTGAGCATGCCATGCCCACAGCTGCTGATGAAAAACTTCTGTTCAGAAGCACTGGGAAGCTATCTCCTGTTTTCCTATGAAATAGCTGCTAGATGTGCAGCTTAGGCCCCAACCCCATTGGGGCAGGTGGAACTGGAGACACTCTGAACTCTACCTTTCTGGGGTTAGGCTGCATGGCCTGGGGACAGCTGTGTACTTGGTTCTAGGGAATGTCACACCAGGCTTGCATCTATGTAAGAACTTGGTTCTTAGGGTGGAAGGGGTTGTTTAGCTACAATTGTCTATCCTTTCTGCTCCAAGCACATGTGTAGGCCAGGGCAGAGAGACCAGGCAGCCTGGCTCAGATAGTCTCTTCCTCTCTAGCCACCTTATTTCTATGAAGCTTATGTGGGGGCTTCTGGCCAAACATAACCAAACTCTAAGGACAGTAGATGAACGCTGCTGTGTGTGGTACCACCCTTCAGCATAGACAGCCATACACCTGGTCACAGAAGGTACGCAGAAACCTTTGCCTTACTCAGTATGTCTACGAGAGACTTTAAGCAGCTTACCCTGTGGCAGTACCACAGCTCAGAATTGTCTGTGGAGCCAGAGTAGCACCAGGCCATGCTTCTGTCTATAGACACTGGACAGTCTCTTATGAGGTTCAAGTAGTATCCCTGTGTTAGAAAGCATGCAAAGAAGCCCAGCATGCTGGTCAGGCAGCGTTCAGGTGCCAGATGTGGGACAAAGACATATAAGAATTTGGAAGTATGATGATCTCAAGTTAGGTGTCATCACTTTCTTTGAAGACACTGGGAGACGCTTCATAAGAATTAAGCCAAGGTGGTTTGTGTGTCTGTCACCTCTATTTTCTGTAAAATTGTCCTTGATGTTATTGGTTAATGCAGCCAATCACCTGCTGGGCCGATAACCTTTCAGGAAGCAAGCGCTTTGACAGGGCAGATCCAGGAAGTGTGGGCTGCATGTGTGCTGCAGAAGGTAGGCAGGAGAGAAAAGATCGGCCCTAACACACTACCTGGCTGCCTTCCCTGCAACCCACAAGGCTGCATTCTCTTTGCTCATACTCAAGGAAAGGGAAACTGGCAGAGGCAAAGCCACTTGGATGGAACAAGCTGGAAACAGCATTTGGCACAGCCACAGCCCTGTCTGCCAGTCCTACCTCTCTATCCACACAACATATCCCAAAGGGGAATGGCTTGGAGCCTGGGTCACAAGTAGAAAGTGCTTAAAGGACAAAAGCAAACCTTAAGAGGGGAACCTCAAACTGGGAAGGGACTCACTGAATGCTAGGCAGATGCTGGCTTCCTAGGACTGCAGTGGGTGTTTGGGCTTAGCGCTTGTTGGGTACAGAATGAGCCTGTTGGTATGGTGATGTCCCTGGAAACCTTTGCAATGTTTGGAAGACTCTGGAAGATCAAAATAATGAAACCATTTCCTAAAACTTGAGATCCTAAGGGAACAAGGATGGCCTTGAATTTCCCAGGAAGCAGAAAATAGAGGCTGAAATCCAGTGTGGAGCTTAATTCCTGTGGCCTATAGGAGTGGCTGTCTGCCTTGTGCAGGTACCTGATCCTATAGCCTGTTTCAAGCCAGAATGGTTGGGCCAGCTGGTGACCCAGAGAAGGATGTTGGTACTGTGGGCCCTTGAAGTGCACCTTCAACCTATACCACTGAGTGACAGAACCCAGTGGAAATACTGGTCAGATGGTGGTGGCAGCAAACTATGCCTAAAGGGCAGTGGGTACCCCTGCCAACTCTGGGTTGAGGAGCTGGTGGGAAGTGGCATCCTCCAGCATCTGTCACCAGGAACCAAGCTGTGAGCCACAGCGACTGCTCCTGGCTTATCTGACTTATTCGATTCCATCCTAGGTGCCCTGTGCAGCCACAGACAGACAGCCTGGTTGGGGTTCAGGGGCTGCCGCTCTACCTCGCAAACCAAAGGGAGTCGGGTCGCTCTTTACTTCGTGCCGCTTAGCTTTTTTGTCAGGACTGGTCGGAGAGGCTGCAGGAAGAGGAAGAGGCAAAAATACAACAGTAGAGACAGAGCTGAGGAAGCGCTGAGCAAGTGAAGGAGGCAGGTGAAATGTTTGTGAAATGAGATGGCTGAGGGGTCTCACGGGGAAGGGGAGAGGCCCAGAGAGCAGGAGGAGATGAGGTGATAGACAATGGCTTTGGCCGTCAGTCATCCTCTTAGGGGCCGCCCTCAGCTCTGCGGAAAGGATGCAGGACCAGAACAAGTGTTTGTATCCTGTTAATTTGAAGCCAACTTAAAAGTATTTTATAGATTGGGACAACCCTCTAATTCTCTGAACCATTGCCTGTTACTTGGGGAAAGCCTGGAGTTTTAGAAGGAAGCCCCATGCAGACCTGAGGCATACCAGGGTTATCCCAAGTATCAGCCACCAAGGAGCATGCCAGGTGACAAAGCTGTTTCTGATCTCAGTTGAAAGATATTTTTACCACTGTGCAGTAGAAACAAAACAAAACAAAACAAAAAAACCAATCTACAAGACACTGGCCACAGCACTCAGCACTCAAGTCACTGTAACAAGAAATCCCTGCCGAATCAACAGGAAATGCAAGGTGAGGCAGTTGGCGAAGAGGACAGTGAGGTCAGGACAGAAAAATGGCTAATAGCTCCAGTTTTGAGCAGGCTGCTCTTGCAAAGCTGGTGTTCTCTGTTTCCAAAAGGCACCCCTAAAAGATAACATCAGGCATGTGTGTCCACATAGTGTCAGTTGCCAAGAAGGATGGGGTTGGAGATGTGCTTGTGTGACTGTGTGTGGCACTCAAGGCCGCCATGTGAAGACGGTATGGGCGCTTCCTCTTTACCTTTCTGACCTTTGAGGTTAGCCAAGCCCTGCAGCGTGAAGCGCTTTCTGGAAAGCGCAGAGCTTTCAGAGGTAGAACTAGGGACCGCATCGTCTAGGAGGGAGGAGAGACAGAATGCAGAGACCGCATCTGGGAGGGAAGGTGACAGAATGCAGAGGGCACTGGCCATGGCCCCATGCTCGGGGTGGGCAGGCAGAGAGTGGTCATACATTCTCGGGTATGCCAGATGAAGGCACATGGCAATCCTGAGCGAGAGGGGTTCTACCATGAGGTCCAGTGTGCTAGAGGGGCCCTAAGCTCTCCCACACTAGCTGGGGGACACTTCATGAGCATCACATATGTGGGTCACACTGTGGTAGACACCTACCTTTGCCTTTCTCAGGGGGCTTCGGCAACGATGAGCTCACATATCCTTCCAGGCTCAGGGGGTCCGTTTTTCTTTCTTCTGACTTCTTGACATTCCTTGTGTTCCCTTTTGAGGGGCTGAGGGCATCAGCAGCAATAAAGAAACAGTATGTTGGAGGTTAATTTCTCAGGTCTCCAAGGACTATAGGCATTGGGACATCTTGGCAGCCAGACCACCCCCTAGACAGCCCAAGGTACTGCCCCAGCACTGAGTGTTCCCCATTTAGAGCCTGAGAAGCCGCCCATCTTCCCACTGGGAAGTGGGTGGTATCTGGTGAGTTTCTCTTTTAGAACAACTGTTCAACAGTTTATTATTTAGACCTCATCCCATCTCATGAATGATCAAGGGTAATATGACAAACAGTAAAGGCAAGTAAGAAAATAAGTAAATGAACAAAATAACAAAGGGGAAATGAGGGCAACAAAGACACACTGAAGTGGTCAAGGCCATGTTTGGAACGCTCATCAGGCTGGTGCCAGACCTCAAGTCTAGTTTGTACCTTTAGTGCCCAACATCTGTCCTAGGCACCATCCTATACCCAATGTTGATGACTAATGTCACCTGGCTATACTCCTGGCATGTGCAGACTGTAGTGAGAAATAATCCATAAACATAAAGTCAATGAGGCAGGGGACCAGTTCTGTGGAGAGTAGGGCCGGAGACAATGCCTTTGGGGCTGATACTCTGGGACAAGCCACCATCATGTAATTCCCAAATGACACTGAAGGGGCCTTGGGCAGACTCATCTCAGTGACAGATGGGAGTAAACTCTGTGGTGTGTGCAGAAGCCCTACTTGTTTTTTCTTCTCTTTCCTTTCTTTCCTTTTTTCCCCTTCCTTCCTTCCTTCCTTCCTTCCTTCCTTCCTTCCTTCCTTCCTTCCTTCCTTCCTTCCTTCCTCCCTCCCTTCTCTCTCTGTCTCTCTGTCTCTGTCTCTCTCTATCTCTCTCCCTTTCTTTCTTTTCCTGAGACAGAGTCTCACTACAAGTCCTAGGCAGATTCTCTTGCTTCAGTGTCCCAAGGACTATGAGTATAGGCATGTACCACTATGCCCAGTTAGAAACTCTGCTTTCTAGGCTCCTGATGGACACACTATGGTACTCACCTGGTGTTGGATGGTGTGGGCAAAGGCAGGCTGTGGGACTGCTCCAGGGCCCTGTGCTGGCTGGCTTCTGTTGGGGGAAATGACATATGGCATTTATCAGTGGGAGCTGAGCACCATCTTTCATACAGTTGACAAGTTTCATACAGTTTACACAAGAGAAAACAAGAACCAATGGCAGCCTCACCCCGGCAGGCCTGCAGCTGGCTGGTCAGCACCTTCCGAATCTCACTCACCCATGCTGCTTTAATCTCAGGGGTTGGTGCCTGTTCCCAAAGAGAGCTGGGAGTCAGTGCTCACACCCACATGAAACATGCTACATTTCCCCCTTGATACTCCCAAGAACAATCCTAGGACCTTAGACAGACTCCTGTGCATAGGGACAGAGGGGCAGATGTTAGGAATGCCCTTTGGCTGTGGGACTCTTCACCTTGTAGCACAGGATTGGTTGGAAAAGTCTGTGGGGCCATGCAGGTGGCTAGATCATGGCAAAGGGGACCAGGGACAAGTGGGGAGGCTAGCACTTGCTGGGCTAATTGTATGTGTGGCATGGCCTACAGAGCTGGTCTCCTGAGAGAGGTCTTGCCTTGGCATATTTTAGGTGATAAGCACAAGAGCAAATCTCAGACCCACAGTAAGACACTAACTAGCCAAGTGGATGTGACCAGGCCAAGAGCATCACCTGACATCAAGACTGCTGTGCTGCCTCTGTTATAAAGCCTAAGGCCCAGCCTGAGTATTATCTCCATGACAGCAGCTGGGCCCTGAGGTTGCTGAGCCCAGCAGCTGAAGTACCACCTGGGGCTACCACAGGGCCCTGCTCTTGATTTAGCTCTGTGTAGCCTGCAAGGCTAGATACAGGACTAGAGGGCAAACTGGGACTGCGATGCCACCATGGCCTCTGTGTGCTGGCCTGTGCCAAGTATCTCATGTGTTTGAAATTTGAGGGTAACTAGAAGGCCCAGGTATGTGGGCTAGGTCCTTCACCACTTAGGTTCTTGTCAGGGGTCATGGAGAGGCGCTATTCTCTGAGTCCATGTCTAGCTCTGGTCTCTGTCTCCCTTGTGGATATAGTGAGGACAGGTGTGGCCACATACTCCCTGTCAGAGAAATTAGGTTGTGTGGACAAAGTTCTCCTGGGCTAATGAGGGATACAAGACCCAGAGCCATTGCTGGCAGTGCCCTCCTAACACTCTATCTGCACTTGATCCCAACTTCCCAACTGGGTCCCAATGCAGGCTAAAGAAGCTAAGAAGGCCTGGGGCAGTGTCCTAGCATGAAGTCTGACAGCTCCTGCTTCTGCAGAATGAACCTCATAAAGATTCCAGACACATTTCTCATTGGAAGTCCTTCCTTCATTGGCTATCCTGAAGAGGTCTACAAAGCAGGTGAGTGGCCCTACCTGGATGATGTAAACCTCCTCTCTTGCGTTGTACCAGATCTCGAACTTCTTGGCATCACCCTTCACATTCTCTGTGATGCCAACAGCAGTCATCTGGCAAGCCCAAAACCGGACAGGCATCAGTGTACAGAGTGGAGCCACCCATCTCATCCAGAAATGATGCGAATTAATGGGGTATTTGGGGGTGCCAGGGGTTAAGAATGGTGGGAACCCCAACTCCCACATGTGTGGAGAGGAGCTGGGTGCCTGCTGACCCATAGCACCAGACCAAGGTCTGTTAAACAGGATGTGATTGCTGTTTGCTGGCTGAGTTACTCACATTCAATGACTGCTTGTAGCTGTAGGAAGGGGCCTTCTCATACCCCTCCCCATTCTCCTCCCTCTTCTTGCAGAACAGCACAGCCTTCTCATGCAGGAAAAGGTGCCGCTGCATGGGCTTGAATCTGGCCAGCTCCTTGACCTTGGTGTGGCCCTTCTTGTGGTCTGTCCATACACTGAAGGAACCTTGCATCAGCAGCTTCCCCAGATCACCCAGGTTACCCTGGAATACAGGACACATGTTGGGTCATGTAAGGCAGATGAATTTGTGAGGGCCAGGGCTCCCAGTTCATATAGGAAAGATTCCCCTATGTGGCATATTCTGGAAGGGGCAAATCCAGGGATGCAGCAAAAGATCATTAGCTGCAGGGATTAAGATAAGGGAGGCGGCAGAGCATGAAGAATCCTCAGGACAGAAGGACATCTGTGTGACACTATAGTAGTGCAGAAATGAAGGTACCCAGAGCCCCAATGCACTGGAGGCCTCAGTTAATGACATATCCCCACTGGCCCATCAGGTGTAATAGATGTAATAAAAAAGCATCAACACAAGAGTTAACAGTAGGGGAGACTCAGGCAGGGACGGGGGCTTAAGGAAGCTGGACTTTACATTCAATTTTTATAAACCTAAAACTGCTAAAAATAATTCAAATATATTAATTTAAAAAGCCCCAAGAATGACTGCTGGATGGACAAACAGAGGCCAAAACCTCCTGTGCCAACTTGAGGTGAGTCTATAAAGAAAGAAATTAACCCCTTGCTGGTCACTTGTCATTAGTCACCAGACTACACACTGAATCACAGAAACAGAGGGTTCCACCTGCTGTCCAGGGAGTAGACAGCAAGGAAGAGGCTTGGAGCGCATCCCCCTTGGAGAAGTCGCACTCTGCCAGGGGAGAAGTCTTAGTCTGCTCCCCGATGTGGGCAAGCTCCTGACTCAGAACCTGGACCGGCCCCAGGCCCTGGGCTGTGTGTATTCACTTAAAGACTCAAGAAACTTGAAAGTGTTGATGGGATCATCCCTACCAAGCTGCTCATGAGACCCCCATCCTCAGCACCATAATCCTTACGTCGTAGCCAGTGATGGCGATGAGGTGCATGGAGTCATTCACTGCCTTGAGGATGCCCAGGATGGAGCTCAGTGCCTCCTGTAGGTCCTCTGCCCCCTCACAGTTCTTGCTGTATTTCAACATTTCCTGATGGGTTGGGGGGAGGGACGCAAGAAGACACAGTTTTATATATATACCAAAACCTTCCTGCAATTCCCTCAGGAGCAGCTGACTATCCCACAGATGCAGACAATGGGCCAGCCCTGAAGATGGTCCCTGGGAAGCTTGGTGTGGTCCCTGGTCAGACACCTGCACACCAGCTACCAGGTTCCTGCTGCTCTTCACGAAGCTGCCCTGCCTGCCTCCCTATAGCCAGGCTGATGGATGGACACCTGGTTTCTGAAGACAAGGAGCTACCTGGCTGGAAAAGTGCACACTCATTACACTTGCCTCCCTCTCATGTCGTGGTCCTGCTAAAAGCACGGTGCTAAAAACCCTTTCCTACCTTGCTGCACACTCCAAGATGGAAACTCCTACTCCCCCGACTGTGCTGGGAGTGTGTCCCTGGCACTCTACAATGTCTAGCACACAGTAGGCCCACATAAACAGTTGAATGAGCCAGGACCATAGAAAGGTTGGGCAAGTGGCTCAGAGAGGTACCCCTGGGCCTGGAGCCAGGGCTTGGTGGGGAAAAGTCCTGGGCTTAGGCCTAGCCTACAGATACCTGGCAACTAGGCAGGGAGGTATGGCAAACCCAGGGCAGGTGCCCTGGAGGCTCACCTTAAGCAGCAACTGGTACTTAGTTATTCTCTGCACTGGCTTCAGCAGGTAGGAATCAAGGCTCAGTTTGTGGTCCAACTTCTTCTGGCACTCCTGGAACCGCCAAACATTCAGTCAGGCAAGGCCATGGCTCTGTCCCAGGCCATTAGGGAAGGAAGTACTAAGATGGGGAAGGGTCTCAAGACGCACCTGGAAGAAGGGACAGTCAGAGCACTGTCTCCACAGGCTCTCAGATCGTGGCTTGTTCTGACAGTACTTCTCGTAGATCTGGAACTCCTCCATCTGCAGCCCGGAGGGACAAAGACATTATGTCTGCTTCCTGGTCACAGTGAGGGGGCCCCTCATCCGAGAGCTGCTCCCAGATCGACTTCTCCAGCACCCCGGCCCTGCTAATCTTCCACAGCACAAGGCATATGGAGATGGAGCTCTTTCATCCCTCCCTTCAAAGGCAGTATATAGTATAATGGTTATTTACATGAAATTTCAGGATCTTATTGGGCAGTTTTGCAAATTCTACAAGTTATTTAAAAAAAAACACAACTGAACATTGTGTGAAATGAAACTTCCCCTGGGTACCTCAGGGGACAGACACAGATGCTTCTTGGGTGCAGATGGTTCTAGAATAGAGAGCTCTGGGGAGGCAGATCATTTTACATACTGCATGGGAAAATTCTGTCAGCTTCCAGGGGGTACTGGTGCTATTGTTCTGGGACTACTGACCTACAAAATGATGACCACCTCAGGTCTGAAGGCTCTGAGAGATACACCAATAGCCAGGCTGAGCCAAGACAAATACAGTTTCTTCTTCCCACCTATCTCTTAGTAGTGACTCACTAGAGCCTCAGTGTGTAGTTCCTACGTATGTGCGTGAGTGCATGCGTGTGTGTGTGTGTGTGTGTGTGTGTGTGTGTGTATGTGATGTTGGGGATGGAACTGGTGACCCTGGTGTGTATTGGGCAAGCTCTACCACTGAGCTGAACTCCATCTCTTCCAGTTCTTTATTTTGTGACATTGCTTTGTCTGCTGTCAGTGACCTCCCTTCCCTAGGACAAGGAGCTCATAGGTCACAATGCTCAACATGATGGGATCCCACAGGGGAAGTTACATCTGCATTCCATTCTTCCTGCTCAAACCATTTCCACCCACCCCTCTTTAAGTTCATCTCCCTAGCCCTATGATTCTGAAGAGCAGAAAATGGGTTCAGAGAGCCCCAGTGCCTTCTAGTATCAACCAGCAAGCAAGGGCAAGACCAAAATAAAGCAACCCATGAGGCAAGTTCAGCTGTGCATCCAAGTGGCATCAGGCCTCCGACACTATAATTTCAATGTCCACAAAGCCTTAAAGGCTCTTCTTTTTCTGAAGTATTATTAACTTTAAAAGCAAAACCCTATTCTTTTTTTTTTTTCTCCTCAAAAGTGCCACATCTTCCTGCCACACAGGAGACACTATGCTCTCTGGGTTTAGTTGGCTACAGTGGGATTTGAAGGCACCAGTGGTGAGTAGTTTTGAGGAGGCAGTCAGGGCCTCAAATATGGTTGAGGGTACAGATGTAGCAAGGGCCTTGCACACAGTTAGTGATATGTACTCAGGGTCCCCCCAGTGGTTAGAGATATGCACCCCTGGTGAGGCACTCAGTTAGAGATACGCACCCTCTCCAGAAAGCACCTCCCCACCAGTTCCGGGCAGTCTATGCAGCTCTCTAGCTCCCGCAGGAATATCCTATAGGGAGAGGTTTTCAGTGAGGCAGTAAACATAATCGAATCAGATGACACCATTTTCCAGAGACTGTTACTCTATCTCTGACAACCTCATCAACTGGGTGGCAATACATCCCCATTTAGCCTGGGAGCCTGTGGCTCAGTCCACAGCCTAGGTATGTCCCTCTGTTTCTGGTCTTATCATTCATACAAAATTGGTACTGCTTTTCTGGGGACAGAGGTGGGAAGAAGAGCAGAGACAGGGACTCAGAGGCTCCACAGACCCTATACACTGACCATGAACCTGTGGGCTTTCTGAAATGTACCAAGGCCCCATAGGCAATGGGATGCAGGTTCTGGGACTGGGTTTTCTGTCAAACACTGACTTGTACCTGTGCCCTAGGGAAGTCCTAGGAAGGGAAGTTTGCTTGGGGTCCACTGTTGACACTAGCAATATACTTTGGAGCCAACAGTGGCCTAGTTGAGGACCAGCCTCAGGGATATTAAAGGGAAGGTTCCACAGCCTCCTTAGAAAGGGACAGCTACAGGAGGATCAAGGGTGGGCCGTTTCCTGCATAAGCCTTGAAACCCTGCTAAGGGATGTGGCCTTTGGGGGCCTCAAGTCCTAAAGATGTACCTGGATCAGGAACAAAGAGCAAGGCATATAGGGCCAGAACCACAATCCTTCCTGCATGTGGCTAGCCTATCACTGTATCACCTTAGGTAGAGCTACCAGGACGAGGAGCCACAAAGGTGATAAGAGAATGTGTCCTGGGCACCTACCACATGCACTTGTGGCTCTCTGTGAGATCCCCCTGGAAATACTTGTCTACAGCCAAACACAACCTAGGGGCTGTGGGTCCCTGTTCCCCAAAGACAGCTGTGTTGGAAATGAGATACCACAAAGAGCACCTGTGTTGTGTCCAGAGGGCCCCACCTGTTATGAAAGTGATAAATCTCCTCCATGTTTCCAAACAGAATGTTCTTCTTGTTTTGCAGGCCTGCTGAAATGAGGTGTGCCATCAGGGGGTTGTCCATCTCTGCAGCATAGCCCTGTGAAGGAGGGGAGGACACAGACAGTCATCCAGGGGAGCCACATCTGCAGCAGACAGGCAGAATGGCAGGGCTGGTGTCACGGAGCACAGGTATCAGCATCCAGGGACACTGTGTCAGTGCTCTAAATAAACCCAGGGCTATGGCACAACGCGGTGCATGGTGCCCTGAATTCCAACCCCAGCACCTCAAAAAATAATGAAAACTATGACTCTAGTCTTACTTGTCCACAATTGCCTGTGATATTCATCTGGACAAGTGACTATAAACAGCACCTACTATGGGCGTAGCTGGAGCCTCCATCTTCTTTTCTAGCATTTTTATTCAGATATAACCTATACAAGGTTATGTTGTACCTGTGTGTATGCAGTGCGTCTGCAGTTATTAACTGCCAAGTCACCATTCAGAGGCTTCAGTACCCAGGAGCCCCTACTCAAAGTCATCCCTTTTGTCCCCTTACTCTAGACCTGCTTGTCTTGGAACTTCTTTCTTCCTCTTTTTTTTTTTTTTGTGGCAGAGGTGAGACAGGGTCTCATTCTGTAGCCCAGGCTGGCCTTGAACTCATGGTGATCCTCCTGTTTCAGTCTCCTAAGTGCTGGGATTACAGGAAGGAACTTTCTGTACACGGAACAGTGTGTGGTTTTCTATGACATCTGTCACTGCCACTGCAATTGTGTGGGTTAAAAGTTTGCAGCTCTTTCCACTGAAATATCTATCTTCCTGTAGGTCCACCCACATTGGCTATCCCTCCCCCTGCTAATGGACATCTGGGCTGTTTCTGGTGTGAGCCTGATAACGAGCAGACTGGCTATGAACATTTTCACATGCTTTGTTGTGACCATAACCTCTCATTTATAAGAAGCATTTTAAAGAGAAATATTTTCTTGTGTGTATTTGTATGTGTGTGTGTGTGTGTGTGTGTGTGTGTATGCATGTGTGTATATGCGTGTGTGTTTGAGTGTAGAAGACAACCTCAAGTGTTGGCCCTCACCATGAACCTTGTTGGAGACAGGGTCTCTTGTTTGCTGCCCACGAACTTCCAAGGATTGCTGTGTCTGCCTCCTATCTTGCCGTAGGGGCACTGGGATTATGGATGAATACTACTGTGTCTGGCTTTACATAGGTTCTAGGGATTCAAACTCAGGTCGACCCTCGTGCTTGTGCAGCAAGCACTTTTACCTATTGAGCTGTCTCCTTAGTCTCTTAAGCAAAATTTTTTATTTATGTTTTTTGTTTGTTTTTTGCGGTGCTGGAGATGGAACTCAGGGCTTCACACATGTTAGGCAAGTTCTCTACCAGTAAGCTATACTCCTAACCCTCTTTTCACCTTTTATTTTGAGACAGGGTCTTACTAAGTTGCCCAAGATGATCTCAAACTCACTCTGTAGCCCAGGTAGGCCTTGAACTTGTAATCCTCCTACCTCGGCCTTACCAGTGGCTGGAAATATAGACTTTAGCAAACAGACTTAGCTCTAGCAATAATTTATTTTTAAAAATTCTGTGTGTGTGTGTGTGTGTGTGTGTGTGTGTGTGTGTGTGTGTGTGTGTCTGGTGTGTCTGTGTGTATCTGTGCCCGTAGAGGCCAGAAGAGGGTGTGTGTGTATGTATGTGTGTGTGTGTGTGTGTGTGTGTGTGTGTGTGTGTCTGGTGTGTCTGTGTGTATCTGTGCCCATAGAGGCCAGAAGAGGGTGTCAGATCTCCTGGCGCTGGAGTTACAGGTAGTTGTGGGCTACCTGACCTGAGTGCTGGGAACTGAACTTGGGTCCTCTGTAAGAGCAGCTAGCACTCTTAACTGCTGAGCCATCTCTCTAGCCCCCTGTAGTAACAATTTTAAAATGAAGCCATGATGTGAGGGTAAGCCTAGCACCCCTGCCTCCCATGCCCAGACTTACCTCTAGTACACAGAGCAGCTCCTCCACGTAGGCCCGTTCCGTGTCTAGGAGCTCATTCATCACATGCCTGTGGATGGAGTATGGAGAGCAGACGTCAGAGTGGGAGGGCAACAGGAATCATTGGGTTCCCAGACTTACTTGTGAACAAAGAAATCATGGCATCTAGGACTTTCCCCAGTATGGGGAGTTGTGGGGAAAAGTTGAGTCCAGGAGCTGTATACTCCCTGGCTCTCCTTGATACCGACCTCAATCTCCCACTGCCTTCTGGGAATGATTTCCCTACCTACCTCCTGGCCTTTTGGGACCCATCTGCACAAAATCAGCCACATCCCCACACATTTGTTGAGTCAACCACCTCTTGCATCCTTCATAAGCCACCTGAGTCTCTCTAAGACCTCTCTGCCAAGAAGATCCTCCACCCTCCAACCTTGACCCTAGAGCCTTCTGGGCCCTTCCTAGACCACGTGTGTTTCTTAGCCCTTCAGCTGAGCCAGCTCCCATCCTGCTGGGATGGATACATCCTATCTGCAGCCTTACAATATGCCTGTTAGTTGTGGAGACCCAGGAGAGGATGAGGACAGGTTTCTAAAGCAGTCATTCAGACCTTCAGGGATGAGGATCACCTGCTAATAGCCTGTGGCCAAGCAGACTGTTTTATTTACAGAGGCCACAGCCCCTAGACTACTAGGTTGAGACTACTAGGGTATGGACTATTCTAAAGCAACCAAGAGCCAAGTAGCTAGGCCCTGCATGTGAGCTCACTTGTGGAGGTGGGGTCTGGGCCTGCTTCTCACACAAACTAGCTAGGCAGGAGGGAGGCCATCCTCATCTCAGGGCCCTGTGTGTGCTGCTCTGCCTGGACGCTTCACTGCCCACCCTTTTGTGCCTCTGTTTGCCAGCTTCCATTAGAGGTCAGAAGTGGCAGGACCCGTATTCCTCTCTCAGCTATTATCGTGATCTCATAATTCACTCTTCTCTGAGTTCCCCCAGAGGACAGAGTGCTGGAGAGCATGGCTGGGGACCTCTGGAAAGGAGTTGCTATGTATGCTTGTTTGCTTGAGTGTTTCCAAGAGCCACTTCTTCACTCTTAACCTTGGATTAAGATGCTCGAAGGAACCAGGTCCAAGCATTTACTGCAGACTTGCTCAGGGAAAATATAAAGAATGGAGACAGAGCAGGGTTGATAGTTCTTTCCATCCCTGATGCCATGACCCTAGCTCCTGACTGACACATCCCCTGGGTATTTTGTAATTTTAACCTCTTCGGTCCACATTGCTTGGCCTCAGTGCTGGTCAAGGACTTCATGGAGTGAAGGGACTCAGCTGGAGGAAGATGGACAGGCAGGTCTTGGTGGGTGTGTTCTGAGTGCAGATCTTGAGTATGTCATAGCTTACACCTATCATCCTGAAGGTGCCTTTGTGAGAGATATGTGTCCCTGTCCAGCAGAAGGTAATCTCCACAGGAAAAGTAACAGGTGATCCCAGGAAGGGCTCAGATGTATTGCTGTCCCAGTCCAGCCAAATGGGTATGTGTACTAGGTGTCTGTATATCCCACAGCCCACATACGTGTGTTCACAGTCAGTATATACATGGTGTTGGCTTCCTTTCTGCTCTGCACACTAGGGTAGAAGTGCTAGCTTCTATCCTTGAGTCACTGATACCCAGACACTCTCAGCCACACAGCTTAGTTGGAGGTATGGCCACCCACCTGCGCAGGATGGCTAGGCTCTCCTCCTCGTCCCCTGTGGAGCTGGCACGGCCCTGCCGGGTCTCACTCATTTCACTCTGAGGAGAGAACAGCATGCCTCAAGTACTGATTACCCAGCCTCATTTCCCATCAGGAATAGAGTCTGAGGAGGGAAGGCAGATGGACCAGAGGCCAGCGAACCCAGAGATGGACCATATGGATAACCAGAGCCAGATACAAGGAGGAAACCAAGGTGGTTCACCAAGAAGCCAAGGCTGTGGACACCAGGACAGGGCCATGGGGGGTCATTGTGACATATGCCTCACCTTGGCTCTCCTGTAGGGCCCTCTACGGAGTGCACTGCCCTCAGAGCTAGAGTTCTCAGATCCTCTCCAGGAGCCTGATTTGGAAAGAGGCAGGGAAGGACGTTAGCTCTGTCAGAGAGAGAAGTGTACCAGTACAAAAAAAGAAAGGGAAGAAAGGATGATAGCAATAAAGAGGGTGGAAAGGGGTGGTGGGATGGGCGAGGGACAGGGAGTCACCTGAGGGACTACTGATTGGAACCTCCATAGCTGCTGAGATGGGAACAGCTCAAACTAACAGGGAGACAGTGGGCAAGAGGGAAGAAGCTGATGATAGCCTGGAAGGTCTCCCTGCAGACCAGAAAGCAGCCTGTCTTCCACCTGACAGGTTTGGAGGCATGGGGGTAGCTCTCCAGGGCATTTGTGGCTTCCCCTGGGCAATGCAGAGGTTCCCAAGCCTACTCATCTCTGGGTTTCCTGTCCTAGTGTGGAAGGGAAAAAGGTGTTCCCAATGGAGGGAGAGGGCAGGGGTGTCTCAACAATGTTGAAGGTGAGCAGACCACGGTATCCTTGTAGCGACTAGGGCCTGAGGACATGGTTCCATAGCTAGTGACAGCCTAGAGGACTTGGGCAGAGGTCAGAGCTGATCCAGCAACACAATTCTGGCAACAGCATCGAGTTAAGAAGGGGCGGGCCCGAGGAAACAACTGAGGCTCTTTCCTCACTGGTTGGCCAATGTTTGCAGCTCTGTGGGCACAAGGATTCAGCTGAAAGGACCCAAGTCTGCTGTGGCCAAAGTGTAAAAGCAGGGACTTTTGATAACTTGGACAGACTGAGGCTGAGTCCCAATAAAACTTTATTAATAAAAACAGGTGACAGGCCAGAACGAACCCTGGACTGCAGACTGTTGACTGTGAACTGGGGCTGGATGGTAGGAAGGGAAAAAGGTGTGCCAACAGGACTTGACATGTGTGGCTCTCTCAGATGTGCCAAGTCCTCAGTAGAGGCCACCAGGTTGTCCAGGATGAGGTGGCCATGCATACCTGGGGAGGGGCAGGGTGATTTGGTGAGTGCCTCTGGCCGTGGGGCCACGGGCTGCACAGGCCGTGTCTGCTTGGCCGCCAGCTTCTTCAGGCTGGCCTGCCTGCGGTGGAACATCTCTTGCATACTTTCTTGCTTCTGAAAGACCTTTTGCACGTGTTCCTGAAATGACACGGCTACTAAGATGCTTTGCATATGTCAGTGTCAGTCACTGAAAACATTCTGTCACACAGTGTCAGCGGGCACAGCTTCCCTGCCTAATATCCCTGAGAAATGTCCATGAATGTGCCCTGCACTGTATCAGCTCTGGTCACACAGTGAAAGCCATGTGAAACTCTGTAGCAGGATGGGGAGTCAGCTCTACAGCTCTGAAGGGTCAGCTGTGGAAGGGGGATTAATTTCCTCCTGTTGCCCCAGAGGTGGAGTTAAGGCAGCTGACTGGAGGCTAGGAGAGGCCCATCTTTGCTGCAAAATCAGAGGCACCATGGTATCAGGGTTCCAGTGAATGCCACCTCACAAAGGCAGACCCATTTCAGTGGGTGTTGGTGTGTAGGTGGTGTGGGAATAACTTCTACAATGGAGGAAAGGCTGAGTCTGATGTTTCACACCTCTGCACTTTCCCCTAGCAACCCCCATTTCCTAGTGATGAGTCAAAGGGTTCTTCTAGGTTTGGGGATATAGCTTAGTGATGGGGTCTTGCCTAGTATGTGTGGAGCCCCAGGTTCAATCCCAACACCTCAAAAAAGGGTTCTTTGAAACATTCTGGGAATGTCCCCAGTCCCCAGTTCCCCGGGCCACCAGACCATAGATAGAAGCCCAAGTCGGTATTACCAGTAGGTCCTGGTTGAGGATGCACTCATATTCCTTGTAAATTTTATTGAGTTCTTGAATCTTATTTTCTGCACCAGTCTCCAAAAATTTCTCGATCTCCTGGAGGGCTGCCTCAGCACCATCCTGGGACTGACACTTGTCCACAGGTTGCGAGGCCAGCAGGAAGATGCCCTCATCGCACCACTTCATGGACTGTAAATAAAAGCTGGCTGTCAGCTGTGGGGTCTGCCATCCCATCCTTTCCCTGTGTGCATTGCCTGCTGGAGCCTTATATTCCCTACATCCCACCTCTTGACTGATGCATCTGCAGAATACGAGGTGCTCTGCCACTAAGCCAAAGGATGCCTTAAGGGAATGTGTACTGTAGAGCTGCCTGGGTTCCTGGGGCTGGACTCACCACAGGAGAGATGGGCAGAGTATAGTGGGACCAATAGGGAGACCAAGTTCAGGGCCCTTCCATGAATCATTACTGGGGCAAGCAAGTCCATCGGGACCAATACTCTTGAGTGGATGGGACAGAGCATCGAGAAGGGGAGGGCATTTTGATTGCTCAGTTAGGAATTGATCAGCTCAGCAAACCCCTCCCTGGTAAGGGACAGTGGTTGGTTTCCTCTGCTAGTTCTGCAAGTCTGGCTGGGTTTCCTACCGTCTCCAAGAGGCTGTGTAGCTCCAGGGACTTGCTGAGCAAGCCTCTCCTCCTGCTGATCTCAGCGGTGAAGTGATCGCAGAGGTGCTGGAGCTCCTCACACTTAGGGTGGATGGAGTCCACAGCATAGTGCTTGTTCTCAATCAGCTGCTGACCCTCCAGTGACAGGGCTCGGGCCCTGTCTACAGCCACCTATGAGACAGAATGAGAGTCAGTTCAGGCCTGTGTAGAGAAGCAGACAGGGAGCCTAGTCCTGGGGTGTCTTTCCTGGAGGAGGAGGATGGATGTGGAGTCTGTGGACTTCAGTGGCCGAGGCCATCAAATTCCCAAGCAATTTTGGGGCCAAAGTTCTTGGCGATCAGAAAAGTACTAGATAGATCTGTCCCAGAAGAAGCATGTGTTTTTTTTTTTTGTTGTTGTTGTTTTTTTTAAGTCCAGGGTGTGTGCCTGAGATGGAGGAAGGCAATTTGGGTACCTGTACCCTGACCGTAACACCTCTTGGGAACATGGGAGCTTTTCGTTAGGTGAAAAGCTCAGGTCCTATGCCTTTAGCATAGCCAGGTGATGCTGTGGCCACCATCCCCTGCCACCCATCCACACCCAACTCTCACGCTAGACTTCTCTTCGAAGCTGGCCAGGTCCTTCAGCAGGTGTTGCACATGTGCCAGGCTGTTACCAACGTCAGTGAAGGTGGCTATCTTGTGGGACATGGTATCCAAGGTAGTTTTGACCTGCAACAGAGGAGGACTGGCTCAGAACACCCATGCTTCATGCAGGGTCCCATGCCTGAAGGGGTGAGGGATGGCGATTCTGACAGTAGCAAGGTGATGAGGGCCTCCAGGGTTAAGCCAAACCACTCAGGCCCACAGAGCCTCTTGGGATGTTGGCCTTCCCCATGGCCTTGCCAACTAAGCTTGTCCTTCTCTTTGTCTCAGCCTGGCTGCTGCTCAGGGTACTGAAAGCTGAAGGGATGATGATAGGGTAAGTGTTGGGAAGCAGCCATGCTGCCCTGGTCCCCTGGTCTGGGCATGGCAGGAGGACTCTCTGGCTCACTTTCCAGCTTGGTAGGAACTCTGGAAATCTCATAGTTCTGCCATTGGCAGGGGGACAAAGGGTTTCAGGTAAGTGATTTTTAAACACCATGCCAGTCTGGGTTATGGTTCAGGCAGTCCCACGGGTTCTGCCCGTGCTTGAGCCACTGCCAGAGGCACAGAGAATGGGGAGGCTGCTTTCTCTACACCTTTCTGACAGCGCTCACAGCTAACACACAGTGTCTCAGTGAAGGTTCCTGGGAATTACCTCAGTTCTTCTATCCATGGCTCTGCACCATTTTCTTCCTGACCTAATGTTCCTTCCCAACCTTGGGGTCTCTCCCTGACCTCCTACACTAGAGTGAAACTCTGGGTGTGGGAGTGGAGATTGGGATCTACGTGTGCCATGATCTAGGACAGCTCTGGCTTTCCTAAGCCTCAGGAAAGAGGGTAGGCTGTTGGCCAATGCCCAGAGTGGGACACCCAGCTCTGGCCCTCTGAACATACAATGCTGGGTGAGGCAACTATATGGGACAGCTGGAGGTGCTACAGGGACAGAGGGAGGCAAGTGAAACACAGGACTCAGGCCTTGGATCACACTTCTGGGTGTTTCTATGGCCTGAGACTCTAGGGAGCTGCTAGGAGGATTTCCTCACCAAGGGTAGACAGCTGACAATAGGGCTAAAGCTCCCTTAAGGAGTGGTCTACATCCTTACTAAACACAGGGTCACTGCCTGGTGCTGGGGTCTCTACTAGGCCTGAGCCCCCATGGCCAACAGACCTGCCTTAATAGAATAATTCTAGGACATATTCAAACCAAAGGGAAAGAAATTACAGAGGACGCAGTCCTGGGGCCTCAGCTGAGAAGAAAGGCCACAGCGAATAAAACAACTACATTTCATGGTTGAAGAGAATGCATGCAGAGGAAACATTTAAAGTAATTTTATTACAAATACAGATAAGTGACATGTGTAAGACTGCCTCTCTCTACACCAACATGTACACATGTGTGTTATGTGCTATTTGTATATGGTAACATGATGTACTACATACTTCAAAATCATATTGTAACCACAGAAATCCCCACATGGTGACATAAATGCAACACGCTACAGAAAATGAAAAAAAAATCCAAGTAGCTGGGTGTGGTGGCACACGCCTTTAGTCCCAGCAGTCAGGCGGCAGAGGCAGATGGATCTCTGTGAGTTCAAGGCCAGCCTAGTTTACAGAGTGAGTTCCAGGCCAGCTGGGGCTACAGGGAAACCCTGTCTCAAAAAGACAATATATATGTCTCCAAGTAATCAAAGAAAGGCAGGAAAAAGAAAACAGAGGAAGGAAAACCTGAAAGATCACAAACAGAAAACACAAAAATAAAACAGCATATTTGAGCCCCAAATGAATCAGTGATTGCATGAATTATAAACAATCTAATGTACCAATTCAAAGAAATGCACAGTGGAATGGATTAAAGCATGATCCAATGCTATGCATCTATAAGAAACTTCAAACATTGGAATGGGGAGCGGGTAAAGAACGTGCCACACACGCACCCATGGGGAGAGTGGAAGAAGCCAGATGAACAGCAGTGAGGCACATTTTGGAGCACAGGTTACAGACACAAAGAGGGATGTCATGTAATGATAACACACTGCAGTCCTGTGCACATCTACCACCAGAGCAGCAAAAGAAACTGACAGACAAGGCTACAAGTGTAACTGGAACATCATGGTCCCTCTTAGCAACAATGCACCAGCTAGAGGGAAGGGTAGCTAAGAAGTGGAGGAACTCAGTACTGTCAACCCACAGAGTCCAACAGACATTTACAAAGGAGTCCATATAATGGCTGACACAGCTGCCTTCCTAGAGCCTGAGAACCAGATCCAAGACAGGACACATCTGGGCGACAGGACAAATGCCAGTGAATGCAGAAGAGCAGAGCATGGGGACAGAGCACGTTCTCTGACTACAGTGAGTCCAAGCCAAAAGCAAGAGCAGAAAGACAACAGGAAATTCTGAACACTGGGAAACCAAACACACAGTGCTTCTAAGTGAGCCACAGAGTGCAGGCTTCAAGGAAAACATTTTTTTTTTTATGTGTATGTGTGTATTGCCTGCGTGCAGGTAAGTGCACCTGTGTCGTGCAATGCACGCGGAGGTCAGAAGAAGCTGTTGGATCCCCTGGGACTGGAGTTAGGGACAGTTTTTAGCTGCCATGTGGGTTCTGGGATTCGAACCCGGGTCTTCTGCAAGAACAAACAGTGTTCTTAACTGCTGAGCCATCTCTCCAGCCCCAGGAAAACATTTTAAACATTAAATTAACTAAAAATGAAGATACAGTGTATCAAAATTTGTGGGACACAGTTAAAAGAGTGATGGGAGGAAAACTGATAGCATTCTTATTAAATGTGGATATTAATAATAAGCTTGGTGTGGTGGCTCATACCTGCAGTCCTAGTACTTGGGAGGCTAAGGCAAGAGGCTCTCACCATGGGTTTGAGACCAGCCTGGTTTACACAGTACATTCCAGGACAGCCTGAACTACATATAGAGTGAGAGACCCTGTTTCCAAAAAACTAAATAAATAAGTGTATTATTAAAGAAGAATATTCTCAAGTAGCTAATGCAGGCTCCCACCTCAAGAACCTAGAAAAAGACTAGAATTAATCCAAAGCCATCAGTAGAAATAAACAGTAAGAGATAGGTCTAGAAATCAATTAAATTAAAAACAGAAAATGACCTAGAAAACCAACAAAAACAAATTGCTGGTTCTTTGAAAAGATAAACTCTTACTTTTCAAGTGGCACACTGGGATTGTATAGTGGTTAGTGCTCTGCATTGTGAAAAGATAAACATCGATAAATCTCTAGCAAATACCGACAAGGAAAAAAGGAGAGAAGATTCAAAGTGTCAACATCAGCAACGAACACACAGACCATTACTACAGACCCCACAGACAGAAAAAACCAAGAGCAAGACCAGAAACAAAGCTGGACACACAGCTCACTCAGGATGAAGCAGAGGAGGGGACCAGGTCCTCACAGCACACCACAGCTCACTCAGGATGAAGCAGAGGAGGGGACCAGGTCCTGACAGCACACCACAGCTCACTCAGGATGAAGCAGAGGAGGGGACCAGGTCCTCACAGCACACCACAGCTCACTCAGGATGAAGCAGAGGAGGGGACCAGGTCCTCACAGCACACCACAGCTCACTCAGGATGAAGCAGAGGAGGGTACCAGGTCCTCACAGCACACCACAGCTCACTCAGGATGAAGTAGAGGGGGGGACCATATCCTGACAGCACACCACAGCTCACTCAGGATGAAGTAGAGGGGGGGACCAGATCCTCACAGCACACCACAGCTCACTCAGGATGAAGCAGAGTAGGGGACCAGGTCCTGACAGCACACCACAGCTCACTCAGGATGAAGCAGAGGAGGGGACCAGGTCCTGACAGCACACCACAGCTCACTCAGGATGAAGCAGAGGAGGGGACCAGGTCCTCACAGCACACCACAGCTCACTCAGGATGAAGTAGAGGGGGGGACCAGGTCCTGACAGCACACCACAGCTCACTCAGTGTGTTGCCACTTTCCACAGCCTCAGAACGGCCATGGATGCTCATTCATCACTTGAAAGTCCCTGAAACATCTAGACCCACATGGATTTCTTAGAGTACCAACTTTAATATTTAAAGAACTGAGGGACTGTGGAGATGGCTCAATTGGTAAAGTGCTTGCCCTACAAGAGTTTGGATCCCTAGTACCAAGTTAAACAAACAAACAAACAAAAAACCCAAAACAAAAACCGGGTATGGTGGGTTACATCTATAACTCTGTTGCTAGGGGTTGGGGTAGAGACAGGAGGACCTCTGGTGCTCATTAGCCAGTCAGCCTAGCCCAATCAATGAGCTCCAGGTTAACAGATAGACAAAAAAAATAAAGGTACAGTATGACCAAGGAAGACACTGACTTCGACCTCTGGCCTTCATGTTCACATGCACATGCGTACATGCACATCAGCATACTTGATCACACACCCACATAAACATACACAGACAGACATGTACATATACATATACTACATGTACACACAAAAAAGGAGAGGAAAAGACAAGCTGCAGACTGAGGAAGATCCACACCACACATATCTGATGGAACACTGACACCTATGGCCTATATATAACTCTCAAAACTTAAAAATAAAAATGCAAGCTGGGTATGGTGGTGCCCGCCTTTAATCCCAGCACTCAGGAGGCAGAGGCAGGATCTCTGTGAATTCAAGGCCAGTCTGGTCTATGTAGTGAGTGTTCCAGGTCAGTTGGGGCTACAGGAAGACCCTGTCTCAAAAAGACCGAAAAAAAAAAACAAAAAAAAAACAAAAAAAAAACCCAAACGCAAAATCAGATAATGCAGCTAGAAAATGGGCCTTAGACACACAGGCATTTCATCAAGGATGCCTGAGGCAAGTGAGCACACCAAGCACAGGTGACATCCCTTGTGACCAGTACAGTGAGGACTGCAGCATACCTGCCCACCAGAGAGTGTGCACAGCACAGAAAGGACCTTGGATTTGGGAGGGTATGTGGAGGAGCTGGGTCACTCACACTGCTGTGGAATGTTAAGTGTCACGGCCACTCTGGGAACAGTCTGGAAGCTTATTTTTGCATGTGTCTATTATGTGGTGTGCATACATGTTTGTGTGTGTGAGTACATGTGTATATGAGGGTACACGTGCATGGATGTACATGTGGAAGCCTGAAGTTGACTTTGGATTTCTTCCTCAATCTCTCTCCACTTTATTTATTGAAGCAGAGTCTCTCATTGACCCTGGAGCTCATGGAGTTCAGCTAGCCACCTTGCTCCAGAGTCCTCTGTCTCTGCCTCTTGAGTGGTAGGATTATAAGCAGCCGCCTCATCCACCCAGCTTTTATGTGGTTCTGGGGATCTGAAGTCCTTATGTTTGTATAGCAAATGCTTTATCTACTGAGCTATCTCCCTAGCCCCAGTTTGGGAGCTTCTTAATATTCAAACATATGATTTCCATGTGACCACTCATTTCAGAGAGAGAAAATTTACGTCCACACAGAGCTTGTATGTATGCAAATGTCTACAGCATCTTTGTCTGTGATAGCAGAACCCTAAACACCAATATCCTTTCACAGCTGGATCCAGAAACCTCACAGCAGGCTGCTGTGGAAACACAGAAGGAGCTGTGGGTACTCACCATCCCTTGAGTGGAGGATGTCCAGAGAACTAGGCAGAGTGAAAAAGCTAGTTGCTAAAAAGACACTTCTGTGGTATCTGGCTTACATGTCCTTCAGTGCCACAGAGTAACAATGGAGAAGAGATCGGTGGTCCTCAGGGGCTGAGGATGTGGGAGGACCTGGGAGGGGCTGCAAAGGGCAGACCGAGAGTCCTGGGATGATGGGTGCCCTGTGCCTACTGGGTGGCAATGTTGAGCTATGGTTTGTTACCACTGGGGAAATTGGTGAAGGATACAGGGACCTCTGGATTATTTCATACAACTGTATGTGAATGTCTAATTATCACTAAATAAAAAGTTTAATTTAAAATACCTCCTAGGGGCTATGGAGATGGCTCAGATAAGAGCACTTACTCTGTAAGTGTGAAGACCTGAGTTCAGATCCCCAGTGCATCACATAAAAAGCTTGGTGCTGCTGTGTGTGCCTGTAATCTCAGCATTAGTGGGAAGAAACAGGTGGATCCTGAGACCTCTCTGGCCAGCCAGCCTAGCCTAAATAGCAAGCTTCCAGTTCAGTGAGAGACCCTGTTCTCAAGGCAATAAGGTGGAGAGTGTGCTAGAGGAAGACACCCGAACACTCATGTGCATACATCACCCATACACATACACACACACATGCATACAAACATAAATAAAAGACAATTTAAAAAGATTCTCCCTGCTCTGGAAAGTCTTTCTCAGTTCCTCACAGAAGTTACAATCACTTTCTTTACACACACAGCAGGCAGATCCACTCTCCTTGCTTCTTGCAAGGTATCACCTCCCCCAAACCCAGGCCACTCACCTCCCGGAAACCCTGCTCAAAATGCCGCAGCTGCAGGCACTGTTCCAGCTTCTGCTGATGCTTTGCCCAGAACTCGTCAAAGGCGGCCTCCGTTTCATTCAGCTGAGCCAGGAGCCTGAGAAAGAGGAAAGGCTGTATGAGTAATGCAGGCTGAGCCTGCCAGGGTACCCAGAAGGCAGGACCTGGCTCCTCCACAAGTCTTCCTGGGACCCCTTGACCTCATGCACTGATGTCCAAGGTTCTCAGTATTCTGAAGGACATGAGGGACAGACTTCAGACAAGACCCTGGGCTTGAGCTTCCCTCCTATGCTCCTCACCCTGCATCACACTGACAGTGGAGTAGAACTGTCTGGGGGGGGGGCTGACTTTGGGTGTCCACCTCTCGGTTGCTTTCCACCTTGTTTTTTTGAGACAGGGTCTCTCACTGAACCTGGAGCTCGCCAATTCCAATACAATGGCTGGCCAGTGAGCTCCAGGAACCTGCTTGTGTCCACCTCCACAGTACCGGGATTACAAAAATGCACTGCCACACCCAACTTTTTACATGGGAGCTGGAGATTCTAATGCAGGTTCCCATTCCTGCATGGCAAGCAAGCACTATTGACTGTGCTATTTCCCCAGCTCCACATTTGCTAATTTTGAAAGGCCATTGGGCTTACTGTTGACAACTCTGGGGCAGGATAAAGAGCAGTCTGCTGCCCATGGCTGGGAGGTCTGGAGCTGGTGTTTGTCACCACTGCACTTACCCCTGGGATCACTTCTTGCTGGGGCTGCACACAGAACAAACCAGCACTACATCATCCTACCTCTTCAAGCTATAGCATGTGCTAGGATTGGCTTCATTTAGCAGATGAGGAAACTGAGTCTCAGGAGAGTTAACAAAGTCCCCATTATGGAGCTGGTTAGATCTGCTAGTGGGCCTTGGGCACCCCATCTAGCACAGAGCCCCTCATTACATGCCTCTCCCATGTCTCCAACACACAGCATGTCTGCCTGGTGTGTGACCACGGCTATGTAGGAAAAATCTGTGTAAGAGCAGAGAGTCGTGGGTCTGGTTGCCTGTTGCTGGGTCTTTGGGTAAAACTCCATCCATACTCAGCTCCAAGGTCCTTCAAGCCTGTCTTCTCACTCAAGAGCTGGGGATGGCATTCACCTAGCCTGCAGTGTGGTAAGGACAGAAAGGGAGGAGGCAGGTGCAGCTCTGGACATCCCAAAGCACCAGGGGGCACTGGTGGACAGTAACTGATGGCATATTGTCCTGTGTTCCACAGCCCCATCAAGAAATATACAGACAGTATCCTTTACTATGATAAGAAAATGCAAGCCTCAACCCAGGAGGCCAGAGCAGAGACACCCAGGGCTGCTTTCCTGCCTACAAGGACTCACTGGAGATGTGGGAGCCACATGAATCCAAGGGGCTCTGCTACTGCCTCTCGCCAAATATTTCCCTCAGTCTGTGAAACTGTTGTTGGGTCTTCCTCCTCAGCATGGGGGCTGGGGTCCACTCTAAGCCTAGGGAGAGAGACTGGCCAGAAGCCAGCTGCTGAGGTCTGTTGCAATTGCCTTGGTTAATGGTCTTGCATTTCACAATGCCATGTGCCTGCAGAGTTCTAGCACCTTGGTGAGGGTGCGGGCCTTACCTCTGCACTGTGGCCTGATTGTCCAGCTGGTCTTGGTTTACACTGTGGGCAGTGCTTTCAGCCAGTGGCTCCCTGAGGCTCTCAAGGATGCTGTTCCCCTCTTTCCGTGCCAGCTGCAGATCCTCCTGCAGAAAACGCACAGAAGCTTCTATCTTAGCCAGTCGGCTGGGCTCGGGTCTCAACACTGAGTAGGCGGGGCCAGCGTGGGACAGTGGGTATAAACCATCTCTTCTATGTGATCACACAGCACACTTAAAACTAGTGAGGATGTTGTATGTATGTATGAAATTCTCAAGGAATTAATAAAAATATTATATATACAAAATATATAAACTTTATATATATATGTAAATCGGCAGGGAGGCAGCTAGGGTTACAGGTCACTTGGGGCATGGGGATAAGATAAAAAGTAACCAGAAACCAGGCCTTCTAACTGTCCCTCTCTTGTAGTTAGCCTTGCTGTGCTGGCAAAAGGCCATTTTTAGGGAATGAGTGGCATGCCTGGCAGATAGGGCACAGTCCTTGGGACACACAGCAAATTCTAGCCACCCAGACACTGCTGTGTCAAAACCATCAAGGACTGGCCAAATGATGTTGAGTGTCTGCACCCCAGAAAGCAATGTGAACTCACTGCAGAATGGTATTTTCTGCAGGAAATTCAACCAGTGCTTCATCATGACCGATGAGAGAAACCGGGAGGAACAGCAGAGGCTGTGTCTGGCGGCACTGTGGCTGCCTGGCGCCATGCACAGTTCACATCCTGGGACAGCTGCTCTGGTCTTGGCTTTACACAGACTCTGAATTCCAGTGGGGTTTCAAGGCAGAGGTCCACCACCCACAGACACACACGTTTTACACGGCTCACTAATGGGGTTTTGAAAAGGGGTATGGTTAATTCTTGGAGCCTGGGCCTGAAACCCACTTAGTTCTGGTCCGACCCTGTGGAGACTCACCTCACATCTTATGTGTGGGATGGAATTAGCACACTCTGCACCTCAGCCCCACGTGCACTGTACCTACCTTTGCTTTGTCCTTCTTCTCCGTGTGTGTGCTCAGCACCGAGCTTGTTGATTGGACATCGTTGGGCAGTTCTGTTTCGGCCAGCTCGGTCCCGAAGGCCTGCAGCATCTGAGCTGTCTGCTTCACCATCAGGGCGAAGCTTTCGATCGCCTTAGGAGGAGGGAGAACACAGTCACAGAGCCCTGCACACAGCCTGTGCCTGCAGCTCTGAAAGCTGACACCACATTGGGACTGTCCTTGGAAAGGAGAGAGTGGCCTCCAAGCCCTGCAGACACATGTGTGCCAACAAGTACCTTCCCACGAGTGTCTCAACCTCACGCTCCCTCAGAAACATACCAGGCAGGCTTTGCAAATGTCCCTGGCACCAAAGGTCATTCTGCACTCAGGGTTTCTGCTTCTGCCTCCTTGTCAATGTAAAAATCGAAAACCTCAACAATGTAGGGTTTGGCTCTCTCTCTCTCTCTCTCTCTCTCTCTCTCTCTCTCTCTCTCTCTCTCTCTCTCTCTCTCTCTCTCTCTCTCTCTCTCTCTCTCTCTCTCTCTCTCTTTCTCCACAAGCTCAGGGAAAGCCACTCCCAAGCTTATTACTCATGTTATTTCTTTACAATGACTCAGGTCCACTGAGACCATCTCCTCATTCTTGGAGAAGAAACTTGGATGAACATGTTTTTTGAAAAGGCAGTGCTGTCATGCAAAAGTAATTCTGCGGGGTTAATGATGAACTCTTGAGAACACGGGCATGTAGCACCCAGACCCACTCACCGTGCGGTGGCACAGCCACCTGGAATGGCAGTAGTCCAGGGTCCCCCCGAGGTCCTCGGTCAGCTGTGACTTATCAATGTAGCCGTGTAGTTCTGGCACTGAGCTCAGCATCATGACCTATAGGAGAAAGGGGATCATCAGAAGGTCTTGCCTACAGCATCTCACCCTGGACTCCTGGGTGGCTCTGGTTTCCAATTTGAGTGGGTCTCAGCACTGTCCTTCCACTGTTGGACCCCAGGCAAGTTGTTTATTCACACTGTGCCTCGGCTTCCTCATCTGTACAATGGGCAGATTATGATGGATCTCACCCTGTGAGGGTGGGGACACAGGGAGTCACTGATGGGCACAAACCCCGGACAGGTACCTGTTAGGCACAGACAACATCAATGGGTGTCAGTGCCCTTCTCTCACTAGGCATGCCAGGGGAATAGAGCTCTGTTTCCAAAGAGGTCAAGTTTGTGCTTGCTCCAGATGAGAACTCCAGGAACTTCTTTTAGGTACTGCTGAGGATCAATTTAGCACCACAGAGTTGACCTCCCATCTCAGCAGCGTGACTGACAGTTCCGGAGAGGCTCTACTTTCTGTGTGAGGCTGTGGTCACAGTGGCCAGTCAAGCTCTTCACACAGGACTCTTCTCTGTCTTTTTGTAACTCTCTGACCATTTTTAAGACCATTCTATCCCTTGGTTTTAAATGAAAATATAGACTTTCCTTTGTAAGCTGTCAGACAGATACTACAAAATGGGTCTCAGAAGGTTAGTGCAGATGTTATTTGATGCCATCATGTATTATTAAACAGAGTCACTGTAAAGTGGGGGCTCTCCACTGGGGATGTCTGGAGACAACCTGGGTTGTTACAATAGGGAAAATGTTCCTGGGTGGCTGGAGGGTAGAAGTTGGGGCTGCTGGAGGCCCCACCCCAGATGGCCACCCAGCAAGGAACCACCCAGGTTAGTCTTAGCAGTGCAGATGCTGGGTCTCAACTGATGCATGACCTATAGCTAAAAACATGTTAGATTCTCAGTTTGAGCTGGAAAGCAGGTTCTCACAGAATTGGCTCATCCTTGGTTCGTCTAGGAAAATCATCTACGTGCTGCCAAACAACCCTGGTTCTTGGTCAGTAAGTCAAAGATGGACTGGACACTCCAAGAAGACATGTTACCTCTCTCCTTGACCTTAGTACACATTTCCCACCACAACAGAAAAGGTGCAACCCAGGGATGCTCTAAATCACTCTCTTGACCTAAGGTTAGCATAGAGCAATGGAGGTCTCAAACACCTTCTGAAAGCAGAGTCCTCCAATAATTCTATAATTATCTAAGATGGATTTGTGAGCTTTAGATGCCAGAATGGTTTCTGTAAAACTGTTTTTGACACCCACTAATATAATGTGACAGTACAGTTTTACAAACGAGACTATAGAGACAGGTATCTTAGTCTTATTTGTCATGTGCCCAAAGGTAAGGGCAGCTGTTAGTGTGATTTGTTTGCTGAAGGTAGGGAAGGGCTTCAGGCATGCTGATGTCATTAGATCATAGGAGGTGGGGAACACACATGTCACTGTGAACATCCCTTGGGCTCAGAGACGAAGAAGTAAATACAAGTACGCGATTCTGTATATTCTTAATGTTGGGACTTGAGCCTCTAGTTAGGTGAGGTACTGCCCTGGTGACTCTGTCCTCAACTTGCTCTAAGAAAGGTCTATCCAGAAAGAGATGCCACAAGACATGGGGTGTAGTATCTTCCCACAGACTTGGGGTCTAGCTGTTCCCAGAGCTACCAAGGCATGACTCTCAGAGAGCCACCGTCACCTCCCTGAAGCCTTGGGCCACGTAGAACTCCTTCCCTAGTCATCACTCTGATTTTCAGGACTGTTATGGAGGCAGGACTGGGTGGGGTGGGAGGGCCCAGGACCATGGTCCTTGTTCTGCTCAAAGAAAGGTTCCAACCTGTTTGGTACAGAGGACAGGGGAGCGGTCATGAGGGATTGGCTGTGGCTTTAGGCAATTGGAGAAAAGAGAGGGTCTGCCACCCAAACACTGAGAAACTACAGACAGTGGCTGGCTGACCAGATTCTTCCATCTCCAAAAGCAATCTGGGTGGTGCTAGAGAGTTGCACAGCCTGGCACTGGCCTCTGTATTCCTGCTCTCTTTATTTTTTTCAAAAAATATTTAATTTATTATTGTCATTATTTTATGTGTATGAGTGTACTGCCAGTATGTAAGGGCATCCGTGTGTGCAATGCCTGAGGAGGTGAGAAGAGGGTGTCACATTCCCTGGAACCAGAGTTACAGATGGTTGTTAGCTGCCATGTGGGTGCTGGGAACTGAACCCGAGTCCTCTGCAAGAGCAACCAGTGCTCTTAACCACTGAGCCATCTCTCCAGCCCATTATAAAAAACATTCTAAAATTTTATGTGCATGAGTGTTTTTGCCTGCATATATACCACACACACGCAATGCCTGCAGAAGCCAGAAGAGGGCGTAGATTTCCCCTGGAACTGGAGTTACGGCAAGTTGTTAGCTACCATGTGGGTGCTGGGAACAGAATCTGTGACCACTGCAAGAGGAGCAAGTGCTTTTAACTGCTGCGCTGTCTCTCTAGCCCTCAAAACCTTGCTTTTTTAAGGGGCATGCAGCAATACTCGGCAGGTCCTTTCCCAGTGGCAGGGAGAGGGGCTGCCCCGTGCTAGGGAAGTCATGGAGATGAGGTAGGGATTGCCCTGCTGAGCTGTTCCAGTCCTAGGTCCAGCACATGCCTGGCTGGCAGCTGGGGCCCCCTCCATGAACCCAGGAAACATCCATGTCCTCTTTCCTTGCCCTCTTTTTTTCCCTTGATGCACTGGGGTATAACCCCTCACTGGCATATGAATGTCCCCTGACTCACAGTGCTCCAATGGAGTGCTCACCTGGGACCCATCCAAGGCTGTGGCCTTGCATGCATGGCCTACCAGCAGGAGTGGCGCAGGGTTCCAGGGAGGAGAATCTTAGGGCTGCCCTGACAGAGCTTAGGGAGAGTGCAGCTTCCTAAGCCCTATGGGGTTTTATTTAGAGCCACAAAAGAGAAGTCATTTAAGAATTCAATTGTTACTGTAGGCCAAGAATGCACTTAAGCTCAGTTCTGCTGACATAGCTGCAGTGGGTACTCACCGGCACCTTCATCTTAAAGTCATCTCTGTTGAACTTGAAGGCGAGGTCAGAGAGAGTCCTCTGGAAAAAGCCCGTTGGGCGAAGCACAAGGACGAGCTGCAGGTTTGCTGGGAAAGATGCCTGCAAGACAGAAAAAGGGCCTGCGGCATCTGCTGTGGGTGGCCCAGGCCACAGAATCGACCTGCCACTGCAGCCAGTGACAGGCTTCTGCCTTTATGCTGCTTACAAATTAAGTCATATTACAGTTGGTACGGATTGAATGAAGATCCTCTACCCCTGTGTAGAGTTCCAAGTCCTAGTACTCAGAATGGACTCATTTGGAGCAATGGTTTTCCTATAGGCAGCCGGCCAAGCAAGTGAGGTGGCCAGAGTGGTCCTGAGCTACAGAAAGTTCTTATGAAAGGGAACTGTGGACACAGACAGCATACAGGCTGTTCATGAAGACAGGCAGAGAATGGGGTGATGTCACCACAAGCCAAGAACACCAAGGACTGCTGGTAACATTGGAGGCCAGGGAGAAGCCTGGAGTAGATCCTTCCTCAGAGCCTCAGATGAAACCAGTCCTGCCCACACATGCATCTCAGACTCCTAGCCTCCACAACTGCTGGAGAGGAGGTTTCTGTCATTCAAGCGTGGTACCTTGTTCATGTATGGCATCAGCCAGAGGGTACCAATGCACTCATAGGAAAAAGAATCAAGAAGATGTATGTGTCTTACATATGTGTATCCTCTGAAACAAAAATCAAGATAAACTCCCCCAGTGTGCACAGGCATACCGTTCAACAGTTAGTTGCACGTATTTCGCAGTGCTTTGCTACCCATAAGGTATGTGACCTTGGGTAAATTACTCCACTTCCTGACGTCTCAGATTCCCCATCTGTAAAACAGGGATAAAGCCATGCCTGCTTCATCATGTTGGGACAGGCGGTGAGCCCAACTCACGTGGTGTACAGCAAGTGCTGCATGGACAGCTATGATGGTTTGTAGTAAGGCGGCTCTGGAGATCCCCCCACATCTAGCAGGGAATGCCCAGAGAGCAACTGAGGAATTGGGTCTGATTCCAAGGACTGGGTTAAAATCTCCTAAACCATGAGAGGCAGGAGGGGTGGCACAGCCTGGAAACTCAGGATGGCCTGGCAGCTGGACTGAGAACAGACCCAACTCACCATGGTTCATGGCGAAAGATGACCCCTGGGCTACACAAGTCCCGGAGTCTAACAAAATGCCTGTATTAAAATGTGATTGACTAAGAACTCACATAGGAAGCAATGATTTTCCAGTGTTGTGTGAGATCTTCTAGCCAGGCTGGAAAAGTGAGTCCCCAGATCCAGTCATGAACTGGGACTGTGTTCTAGGCCATCCAATAGTCTAGCAAGAGTTAAACAGGACTCAATCCTCTTTAGTACACAGTAAGGGTCAAAGTATACCTTGTCTCCTACTTCCAGCTTCCTAGGGAGAATAGCAGGCACTAATGTCCACTACCCACAGCTGACCTCCTACCTAGTTCAGGGGACACTGGTATCTGTCATCTGCAACTGGCTTCCCATCCAGGGAAGTGGACATTGGTGTCCATCATCTACAGCTGACCTCCCATCCAGAATAGTAGACACTGGTATGTCACCCATAGCCGACCTCCCACTTAGAACAGTGGACACTGGTGCTTATTACCCACAGTTGGCCTCCTACCATGACAGTGGGCACTGACCTTGCCTTGAAAAGAAAACACTCATCCTTTAAGATTCTATCACACCCTGTGCCCTTGGTCCCTACAGGACCTTCTACGTAGTGATGGTCACATCACTTGCATGTCACACTTCTCCATTATAGGCATGCTGATAAGCAGGTGCCTGGTCAGGGTTCTGCCTGAGTGGATATAGGAGCAGGGTGCTGGGAGCTGCTGAAGGCCCTCCTGTAGACAGCATCTTCCCATTCATCCTCTTCCCCTGGCGACCTGGCTTCCCTCTGCCCCTCTGCCCCATTATGGCAAGGGTGTTGAGACATGCCTCCACCCACTGCCTTATATTCTGCAGGCGCACAGCCAGTTATACTCTCAGAAGGGAACTATGAATGTTAGTGATCGGACTTTGTCTCTGATGCCCTGGGAGAGGGTGAGTGTCCTGGGCGGAACACAGCTCTGCAAAGCCAGCAGCTGGGGGCAGATTCTGGGCCACTTGACACAAAGGCTTCTAAACCTGTTCTCTGTGTGAAATTGGCCACCACCGTTTAAGGAGGCACTCTCAAGAGGCAGCTTTCCTCAGGTGACAGTGAGTCACCCTTCTCTGAACTTCAATTAGGTTTGTCACCAGGGTCACACCTCACAGAAAACTGGCTCTGTAAAGACAGGTCCAACCCTTGAACCTATAAGATGGAAACAGCTCCCTCACCTTCCCTATAGCAGCTTCCCTAGGTGCCTCCAACTGCAGGTGCAAGACCTCCCCACCCCCAGTGTGAGAGGTGCCTTTGCCACAGCCCCTGGGGACCTCTAGTCTCACATACAGCCCCTTTCCTTCTCTTTTCTTTAAGGTATCTGCTAAGTTGTTGAGTTTTCATATTAAATAGAATAAGATCCTAACCAAGTGGGGATATTTTAACAATGCACACAAATTGTGCAAATGTAAATAGCAGCAAAATTAATTTTCTCTGTTCTGGAATCAATCATTTGTATTTAAAGCCGGGGAAAGGTCTAAAATAAAATCTTTACTATTTATTTATTCATTTATTTATTATTTATTTATTTTGAGACAGGGTCTCCCTGTAGCCACAGCTGTCCTGGAACTCGCTATGTAGACCAGGCTGGCCTCAAACTCACAGGGATCTCCCTGCCTCTGCCTCCCAAGTGCTGGGATTAAAGGTGTGTGCCACCATGCCTGGCTCAATAAAACCTTTATTTTAAAAACATAGAAGTAGACAGAGGAGTTGATGCTGATGTTTCATAAATTACTCAATAATCATGAATTGTAAAATTACAGTAGGTTTCTATCTAATATGAAAGCAATACAATTTTTTGGAACAGGGTCTAACTGTGTAGCCCTGGCTGGCCTGGAACTTACTTTATAAATTAGGTTGGCCTCAAACTGACAGAGATCTGCTTTCCTCTGCCTCCAGAGTGCTAGGTTCAAAGACACACACTACCAGGCCCAGAATTTTGTTTTTATTTTTCAATCTCACTTATTTTCTGCAGTATATGAGGCTATTTATACCCCAGCCTTCCTCAAAGCCCAAGGCTACATATATCCAGCCTAGTGTTCTGCATTTAGTAGTAAACAGAGCAACCAAGACCCTACCAATCTCTTTTGTCTGATAACAGCCAACAAACAAAAGTTTATATAAAAATATCATCTGAGCCAGGCATGGAGGCAGAGGCAAGTGGATTGTTGTGAGTTCAAGGCCAGCCTGGTCTACATAGTGAGTTCGGGTCAGCTGAGACTACAGGGAGACCCTGTCTCAAAGACAAAAATAAATAAATAAATAAATAAATAAATCATCTGAAAGTTTGTGTCTCAGTATAAAATAACCAGAAAACATCTGGGTCATGAACATCTGAATCAAAGGTGCCTACTCTGTGAGGGTAAATGCTGCTGTAGCTGTGATGAAAATTCCACAGAATCCAGCCATAGGTGCATGCATGAGATCAGTATTAATAAATCACAGGGCCTCCAGGGAACAAGTTCCCTAGAACCTCAGGGTGGATCTGCACCACCCATCTACTCAGCTGCATGTCACATAGGTTCATATAACACGTCTTCACGAACACAACATCAGCTAGACCTGGGAAAATGACACAGGTGGATTCCACTATGCAAACTTGGGAGCCAGTATGTCAAGAACTATTAGGAAAATGGGACTGTCACGGAATACAATACTGTCAGAAAACCAGCTGTCGCTCCCATTCCCACCCCACCTCAGCGGGTGCTTGCACCTGCTTTTTATTCTTTGCACAGTCTAGAAGCTCCAGTTGGCTCTGATCACATCACGTCCATAGGGGGCTTGATGATTGCAGAGGTCACACTGGAAGCAGAAAGGAATTTGGGGCACTATTCTGGTCAGTTTGTAACTTCCCTGCAGGGGTGAGAGAGAAGAGCCATCTGATGGGTTGATGGGCAGACACAGCTGCAAGAGTACAGTGCAGGTTGAGTGGGAACTGGGAGGTACAGGTAAGGACTGAGCATCACCTGCCACAAGGCCACTGTAGAATACACCTATACAGCAACACCCAGTACACCCTAGATTTAGGCAAGAGTCCAAGAAGCCTTGTGAATACGAAAACACAGGATGGAAGACTATTGAGGCCCCTAGTCAGTCCCGAGCAGAGCCACAGGCAGCATGCTGGTCACAAGCAGGAAAGGTGCCTTCTAGAGGAGACCTGACCAAATGGCAACCATAACCCACTCATGGGACACACAGGTGTCCTGTGCCCACCAATGGTGATTCCTGCTGGGGTGGCTAGCTGAAGCTAGAGGTCAGGATACCACACTGAGGGGTTTCTACCAAACTGCTGGCTTCAGGCCTTCACAAGTATCAGTGCCACAAGACCAAAAGCAAAATCAAAACTGATGAATAAATGGAAAGGGTAAAGAAAAGGAGAGTAACTGGCTGTCACCCATCACCCATCACCCATCATCACCCTTACTCATCACTCATCGCTGGGTCTTGGGTTTTAGCAAAAGATATAAAGGGCATTATTGGGTGATGGGGTAAATCTAAATACACACTGTTTACTAGGTAATAGACTGTTTCAATGTTATATCCCCAAGTGTATATGGACAATTCTTACTGTCATAGGTATTATAATAATATTGATATCACTTTCCTAGTGTGCATTGTGGTCCCATAGAAACCTAGCTTTGTTCTCAGTGGCACACAGCTAAGAATAAATTGCCAAAATGGTGCAACCAGCTCTCTGATGGATCAGCAAGCAGTGTATGAATGTCTGTGCAGGTGAGTCTGCATATGGGGGGGGTGCATACATGTCTGCATCAGTCTGTGTTTCTGCTTGAGTGTCTATTTATGTCTGTGTGCATATGTGTATGCATGTGTGAGAGTTTAGATCCAGGTACATGTCTGTGTGTGCAAGTATACCTGTGTGCTAGTGTATGTGGATATCTTTGTACATACAAGTG